CATAAAAATTATGTTCACTATGTGTATAATACTCATATGCAATAGCCTTTTGCATTTGGAATACAGACTGCCTTGGAGGAGTTGGTGAAAGGTTTTGCAAGGAGTGAAATTAATTTTTTAAACGACAGAAAAAATTTACATGACTAATAAAGAGCATAGTGATGACAGAAATTGGTTACTTGTTCATATTCCCCATGCTCCAGAGACATGACTCAGCAGTATGGATTTAACCATTTAACCAAAATTCTCTATAGCTGTAGCAACTACTCAAGCACACCCCTCCTGTTAAATCCACAGCTGAAAATAAATCATACCTTGACATTCTTCTAAAATTCGCATCTTTGCATTTGTGTCCCCTAGTATTTCCATACAGACAGAAAAATTAATTAGCAATGTGCACATTTAAATATTTATTAAAGGGCAGGGGGGAGATGTTGGTGTTTGTTTGTTTCTTTGTTCATTTGTTCTGTTTTAAATAGGTTTGGGGGGCATGTTTATAAAGAAAAACTGAAACCTGATTTGGCAACACTGATTATAGGATCTATGAATTTAAATGAATTTGGGCAAGACTGTGTCCAAAAGGACATGACCATCTTTTCAATCTGTAGGAATTATTCAGTGAGGTAATACTAACTCTTCTGCTGCAAACACTGAAGTCCCTGCTAGTCAAATGGTAAAAGTGTAAATCATCTCAGTTTTTATTTTGAGGATTTACAGATCAGTATTATTTCACATGAGTGAAATATGGAGTTCTGTTTCTAACAGGGGTTCAAGAGTAGTCAGAAGTAGAGAGGCCAAGAGAACTGAGCTCTGTTGCTTTGTTAGCTACATCACTGGTGTTTAGCAACTACTTTAGTAGCAATAAAGATCTTGGGTAGGTTTCCCTGGGTTTTAATTCCTATTCAGTTGAAATGAATAAGTACCCTATTCTAAAGTAACCAAAACACTGGATGCAGGAATTCAGTTTCCAGCTTTTCATTCTCTCAGCAGGAAACAGTTGTTCTTTTTTTCAAATAGCTGAAAACAAAAAAGTCAGGAAAATATTCATAGATTGAAAATGTTTGAGGAAGAGAGGAAGAGAAACATTTACATATATGCATTTCCCAGTTTTGAAAATTACTTTATCAGCTCTGCTTGCACTTGCATTTCTTCCCCACTTACTGCCACTCACTAACAGTAAACTTTGTCCAATTCTGGCAGAGCCAACAGGAAAACAGTAGTACATAGCCCAGCAGATACAAACAGCGGGAAGAGAGCTTTGCCAAAAATTAAGTAAGTAAATAAATTACCTTTTTTAAGCACTGGCAAGTAACATAGGTAAAAGTTTTATGATTGATGCGTCCATGCTATAATCACACACTCTAGTACACTTGCGCGGTCTACAGCCTGCTCACTGAACAGGAAACCACTCAGCTTCACTCTGTGTTTAAAAGTTGCTGCTAACCTAAATTATTTCGTAATTGTAGAGTGGGCTAGTTGAAACTCGGATGGTTGTGCTGGTATTTCCAAAACTTTGGGCAATTCCAAGGGTGGATGCTTAGTTATAGATAAAACAAGTGTGCATTAATGCAATCTTAATGTGATCCCTGGCCACATCTTCATTGCAAAATAACTCTTGGTGTTCCAAGTTTCTGAATATTAAGTACTTCTACTGCAATGATCCACAAATGCTACTGGACAGGCTGATACAGAGCTAAGTGGGTAAAGAGGGTCACTGTGAGACAACCAACACCAGAATAAGGCCTAGGGTCAAGATCTGTTTATATGGTTCTTTCACACCCAATATATCTCCCATATTCTCTGTGGCAGAGTAATAGCAGGATGGAAGAATACCTCATCAGGACTAGGGAAAATGTTACACTTATTTTGCTGGCTGGTAGAATTGGAAGGGAGCCATGTGCAGTGGCACAGCTGCATGCAAAAAGAGAGATTTAGCTCCTATCTCCTTATGGAAACTCATCCCTTCAACATCACACTGAATATACTAAAGTATCAATAAGGCTGTTACGAAATGAATGTTTGTAAAATGAGTAGCACTCTCTGTAACTGCACCAAACTTGGGGCTGAAAGTGAACAAAAATATAAGGTTTGACCCAAGATTGTTGAATTTCCAAATTTGCCCAGTCATTTCTCAACTGTAGTTCTTATCCTTGCAGCTTCCACTCATTCATTTAAGCTGAAATATTTGAGCACTTTTATAGAACAATGGCAATTCCTAATATTTAATGAAGTTGATGGTTTTTTTCTTTGTTTACCTATTTAGATCTAGCCCAAACATATGTGAAGCAATGAATCCAGATACACATCTGAAAGGTAAAATTCTTTCAGCGGTGAAAAGGGATGTCCATCTAGCATATTATTACTCAGAGCCAGTAATAGTTTGTTACATGCAAGGTGTGGCCGACATGAACATTGTAATATTATAAACATTAGGATGAATTGTAAGATGCCTATATACTCCAGTAGGACAAGGTTTTGCACCATACTTTTGGACCAGACAGTAAAAAAGTGACTCTGAAAATGCCTATGCAGTTCTTCTTTGCAGCATTTCCAGCTTCAGGTTTTTTTCTACTGAAGAGATTAGGAGACACTCTGTCAGGATAACAGTGTTTATTAAAACACAAGCCACAATACTTTATCGCTTCCCAACACTGGCTGGGACACCACAGTGACTAAAAAACCACTGTGCATTCATAGACTCACAGAAACCAATGGGAACAGGTTTACCTTCTGCTTTCTCATTTAAAGAAGGGCTTTGTTTCTCATGTTGGGGTTTCCTGTATAAATTGCTAACCTGTCACCCTTTTAAACAGAATTTTTTTAGGTCTCTATGAAAAGCAGGCAAGGTTGCCACAAAATGCACACATTGTTTTATTCCCTTGCAAATTAAAGTTAATTGTTTTCCATTTTGTGCCTTGACATCAGGCATTCTCTGTCAACTGGAAGAAACACACCCACACATATGCCATAGCAATGTAACACCTTCCTAGTGTTATAATTTATATTCTCTATTTATTAGTTTCACATAAAATGTAGCAAAGCAACAAAAAATTTTCAGACTGAATAAAATATGATCAGTTCCTATAGCTTGAGGAGACTCTAACCCATGCCAGCTCTAAGTCTTTAGATTGCAGTGAAAAAAAAATTTTGCCAGAAGGTCCAGCTGATTGCAACAACTTGCAACAAAGATTCTGTCCTCTTTCATCCCTTTACAACAGCCAGTGCACCAAAAGTGAGAAAATTTGAAGATGTCCCTGCTCATTGCAGATGGGTTGGACTAGATAACCTTTAAAGGTACCTTCCAACTCCAACTATTCTATGATTCTATAATAAATTGGATGTTCCAGGGTGATCTATATATAGTAGACAGCAGAAATAGTCTCCCCCTAGATGGTGAGCCTCTGCAACAGTACCTCTTCTACTGCCTGGACAGTGTGCAGCACTTTTCATTCTGAAAGCCTGTTATGTACAGCAAGGCGGAGAGAGTGAGATATTCATCTTCACTTCCAAAATGACATTCTTAAATATCAGGAGGAGTGGTTTCTAGCTGGTTTGCACTCCTCAGATAGCATGGAGTAAATATTTGGGCATACACCTTACGTAAAAGGCACACCCACAGGAAAGCAGCACCAGTGCTGCTCCCTTCACTGGCCCTGTGCAAAGGAGGAGTAAGAAGAAAAGGAGAAGGAGGGCTGGAGTTCCTCCAAACTCCACTGATTCATTCACAACAGAATAGATTATAAACTAACTTGGGCGTCAAATTGTAAACTGGTATTGAATAGCAATACATCACCCCAAAGCCTTGGGTCAAACAGTCCCCCTTCAGCATTAAGCCATGAAATGAGTGGATAATGGCATTGATGTTTACCACTGTTATTAACTTTTTATTGTTGAGAATAAAACAACCATTTTTTTTTATTAACAGAAGTAGAAAGGCTACAATTTAAAACACTGAGCAGAGATTAAAGTACTGCATGTATTAAATAAATGAACATTCAATGCCATCTGCTGGGGTATACAAAAATATGCAATACCAGGCTTACAGAACAAGAGTAACAAATGTAAAAAGGGTGTTCAGGCAGAAGCAGTCTTCTTTCAAAACACAGTTGTAAGGGAGAGTTGTGGGATTCTGCCTGTCCTTAGTACACTTCAGCACCAAGGTACAACCCCTGGACAAGAAGTAGATTTGGTTTTAACTCTCTCCTTGACACAAAAGCCTTTCAGTGTGCAATTCTCCCTTTTTCCAAAGTATTAGAGCATGTTTTAATTATATGTTATTGATTAGTCTTAATAGAAGGACTTTCATGTTCTACTTTGGAAATCAAGCTATTACGTAACCACAGATGCAAGGTTTGTGAGGTTACAGGCAGTGTAAGAAAGGACTGCAACAGTCCAAAACAAGAGCAAGTACTGGGCAAGGTCATACCATGGCTGTTTTGCATTAAATAGTCACTGGATTAAATGTGTAAATGAGGTTAAGTGCAGAACTTGGGAGTCTCTTCTGAAGTGAACTCACTCTCCTGTTCACCAGCTCTTTGGCCCTTGTGCTCTCCTGGCTGTACCATTAGACAACTTTGTGGGCAGACAGACACCACTGAGAAAAGTTTATAGCCTGATAGCTGGAGTGTTCTCAGTTTGGGGGTTTTCTTCTGCTGCTAAGGGAATAAGACACATTTCTATTCATAAAGGGATTTCCAGATCAGGATCCCCAATTTCATCATGGTGAGCTCTCACAGTTCTGCACCAAGCAGCAAAACTCAGGAGAAAGAGAGGAGTTCAAGCACATCCTTTTTTGGGTGTTCCTGGTAGGCAGGCTTAGACGTGCTTATGGTTGTGAATTCCATTTCCACACAGCTACTTCCTCATGCACTGTATAGGTCAACAAACTCACGGGTGGATTTGCTTAATCTCCTTTGTTTCAGTATCTCTAAAATACTGTGCAGTTGGCAGATTTTTATTCTGTTAGATAAATTATTAGTTAGTGTATCATTTTCGACAGAATGAGACCTGCTGACAGTTATTCTCCATTTCATACAGAAACCAGAAGAACTATTCCTGATAACACCTATCATTCTGTAAGTACCATACTGTTCTTCCTAAAATTTTACTTTTGTAATTGTAATTGTAAAACACTTCCTGGCATGTGTTAATCTCGTCTTGGCTATAATGCTAGTAACAGCAAATGCAATTGTCACTGTTTGCTAATGCAAAATAAAGCATGAGTATTTTGAAATATGTATGAGCTAGACTGGAGAAGTGACTCACTCACTAGTCACTTCTCCATTTATGGGCTGAATTTAAAATACACCTTTACATAAGATCATGTGAAAATAACAGGAGTGAAGTTGAACAAGTATATAAGTCATAAACCTCAAGGTTTAAACCTCAAGGTTTAATATGTAACTGATGCAGATGAAAGCCTAAAAGCCAACAGTACACATTTCAATGTCTTCCCATTTTTATCTGAACGCTGGTTTTGAGCTTCAGTTCAGACGTATAAGAGTGTAAATACCTTTTAAATCACAGAAAGACAAAAATAAAGCACAGGTCTATGCTTAATAAGCAAGATGGACAAGTAAATGTTGACTAAAGAAGGTTGATGGAATCAATACTTTGACTGCTTTATAGCTCACTGAAAGATTAATAATAATAAGATGCTATATGGGATTAATATCAAACATAAGGGAGTAATAGCACAGAGCAGAACAGGGAAAGAACAGTCAGGAGAATATTTACTTATGCTAAGGCAGTTAAGGAATTATTTGAAGAAATTTCTGAGACATTAATTGATTATCTTTGGGAACTCTCCAAGGAGTACTGAGTTCCTAAAGTACTGAAAAAGAACAGTGGTAACATCAATTTCTTATGAGAAAGCCTGCAGAGACTACTAAACAAAGTCAATCTGAAAGGATCTTTTGGAAATAATAGGTCTGATCATGTAAAATAATTGCTAATGTGAACACGAAGAACATCTCATCAACTCCTCAAACCAAAAGTAATTTCCTTTTCAGCAGAAATATGACCACAGTAGCAAGAAAGAAAACAGTAGATGTGATATATCTTGGTTTTTGTTAGGCCTCTGACATTTCCCAGAAGACAGTCTCACAAGCAGATACCTGGAAACCTGGTCTAGATGAAAATGCATGAAGTGTTTGCACAACTGATTGAAAAAAAGTCACCCTCAGCCTAGCTGACAGTAGTCTGCTACTGAACTAGAGAGATGTGCAGAGAAGTGCCTGAAAAGCCATATACCCTGCAGGGGTCTCTCAAGGGTGTGGTGGCATTTTTTATGTGCTGCTACAAAAATCCTGCAATGTACTGTCAAGAACACTTCTTGGAGGTCTGATTGATGTTGTAACAAAAATGTGTACAACCTGGAGAGAGATGTGTACAATCAGGAAAGTAACACTTTCCTGATGAGGTTCAAGATCTCTTAAATTGGTTGACAACTCAGGAAAGCTTTCAAGAAGCATATTTGCTTAGTGAGAAGACTAAAAGGAAATATAATTATAAGCATTAGCATGAAAAAGGTTGAAATAAAGTGGATAGTAATCAATTTTTTTTAGTGTCCTTGGAGGGTAAAACAAATTGGTTTAAATTTTAGCACTCAAGAGAAAAAGTATGAACTGAAAGGGCAGCTAACTAGCAGAAGAAGACATCTCAGGAAGCTATTGATTCCCCATTGTTAGTGAGTTCAAGAAGAGAATAAAAAAACCATCAGGGAAGATCCAAGTGCATGATGTACCTATATTGCTGGTAGCAAAATATGACTTACAAAGACTCGGGGCACCCTCAGCTGAGTTCCCTCAGCAGCAATCCCAGCTGTGCGCTGAAGGAAGCCAGCAACTGTGTTCCAGCATGTAAACAGTGAGTATGAAGGGTGGAGCAGGACTCCAGAAAATAATCTTGGACAAACCTAGTACAAGTGTATAGACACATGCAGAGACATCCTGAATCACTCTCAGCATCATATTCTATGGATTTCACTGTTCAATACATACTTGCTATCGCATTCACTTCAACTGCACGTTTTCTAGCACAAATTCCCCAAAACACTGCATGGTTTTATTTTAAAGTGTCACATTTGTGATGAGCTAGCTAATATATTCTTGCAAGTAACATATGTAAACAGTCAGTACAATATAAATACCACATGGATAATACTATAATGAAAGACACAATTTCAAATTATCATAAAATTAAACACTATCATTATATTTTCAAGATCAGACAGGTAAAATTCAGAGAGACAGCTAAACTGCCTCCCAAATGGCTATTTAATCAATCTAAATTTAAAAAATTTAGGTACTCAAAGCACTTGCTCAACTACTTTGCAACCCTTCAATTTCCATCAGAAAATTTCCTGTGTACCAAAATATCAAGTTATGGTAATCAGATAGTTCCAAATCTGAAATTAATCTTGACCTTAATGATATTATCTGTATATCTCTTCTTCTGTCCAGAGCAAATATTTGACAATGAAGGGAAGGGCTGACTTACAGTCTTCCCCCAAGTTATCCGAGGAAGAGGATGATTACGAGACCATAAGTTCTTCCACTCTGCAGGCCATCCATGCTTTAAGAATTCTTCCTGCCAAACCTCTACAAGAATCTGAATATGCAGGTAACTTCTGTCTGTGGAAAGTGAGAAAAACCTAGACATATGTAGGAGCAGTACAGACTTAGGGTTTTCAGTGTGGATATCTTTCAGTTCAACTGAAATATAACACTGGTAGGCAGAAATAAAGAAGAGTTTTGTCTGCATCTTCAAATTCAAAAGTTACCCTTATTTCCATTAGATTATGTTAAATTAATAATTACACACTGGTTTTTTAATTTTAATATTACCCTCATGGGAGAAACTCTATTATCCCATTCCACCTTGAATGTGCAACAAACCTGACTGATAAAACTCACAAGTGTTTCAGAAAAGCTCATTGCTATTTAAGCCTAGAAATTTTTAAGATGGAAAACATATTAAAGAACACATGAAACTTCCCTCCAGATGATAATTTGCAGATGAAGAAATGTACCCTTTTAAAGGTGTTATCTGCTGCTTTCAGTAACTGTAATAAGCAATTGCTTTGTGTGTATTTCTCAGGCATTCTTTACCTTGCAAGACAGCTTCATTAATCCCCTTTTGGTTTACTAAAATGCCCAAACAAATTTAAATGCCCTAACATACAGAGCTAATTAATATCCTGTTTATGGATGTGAAATATCATCATAGCTATCCACTGCTCAAAGCCATTACAAACAATTTCTGGAGGTTTTAAATCATTAAAAAACTGGAGGGAAATCCTAGATGAGGAAGAATAGAAACCAGAAACCAAAGAAATCTGAAAATACAGGATCAATATATTATGAAAGCTTGCTCCAGTTCACATCAAAGTCAGCAAAGATTTATCTACTGATTCTTTGTGAGAGTTTGTTTGATGTCTAAACAAATACATGGCTTTTAAAGTGAGTAAATTTACCAGTGTGAGCAGATCACAATCAGTCTGAACATCCAGATATCCTACATTATGTTCCAAAGACTAATTTGCACATTTTATTTGGAAATCTGAATTCCAAATACTGTTTTTGTCTTAGTTAGTAGTAAAAACTTTCAGTCAGCAGTCAGCATCTTATGTTGCTTATGTAAGACTGTCCTGAAATACCCAAAAGATGTAATTTTTGTTTTGTGAATTCAGATAAAACACATTAAATAAAAAGCTGCTTTTTTCCTGTAACCACAGTTAAGGTTAAATGTCTGCCTTAACTGTGTACTGCCTTATGAAGGCTTTTTTTTTAACCACAGTGAGGAGGTTAAGTATGCAGCTCTTATGAGGGTCATGCTTATGTCCTAATGCAGCTGCTAAAATGACATTTACATTTTGAAAAGGAAAATTTAAAATGCTATAAAAATGGCAAGACCTGATCTGAAAAGCATATTTTGAACATTAAAACCTCTTCTTCTTAAAACCTCATAGTACTGAATTACTCAGGCTTGATTTTTCTTCCTCTTTTACAGATAAACGTTGTTTAAGGCCTTCAGGTTCCACTTCCCCAATGAGCGAGCACCCATCTCAGCCCCCTCAATACTCAACTGTAAGTATAGATACTAAACCTTATTCACAAACAGATTTCCCCTTTTCTTTAATATTCTTTAAAGTTAAGTGCAGTCTATTTAAAGTCTTAGCCATGTAAAATTCACTCGCACAAGGGCACACACATTCCTGTGAGCCGTTCCTGTTTCACTTTGCACTGATGCCTTCACCACTGACTTCACTTGTTGGCTGCAGGGATCCTCTAAAGTATTAGAGGCATCCCAGTCAGGAGCAGCAACCCTTCTACTAGACAGAGTTTCAAGGGTGATGACTAACATCACATCTTTACTTTGTTTTATTAACAGATTCACACATCTGTTCCGGAGGGGCAGAGAGTGCCATGTGTTAGAGGTAAAATAAAAAAAATCTACCCATTTCTGCAAATAGAAATAGAAATTGTTACTTCCATATTTATCTTTTGTACACAGGAAGAGACTGCAGATGATAGAATAGACAGGGTTTTCAGAACAGTAGCTGCTTTTCCAAATAATTATACTGCAAATTTTGCAATACTGTTTCAACTATCTAACATCAAAGTAATTATTTACTAGAAGGAGATATGTTTTATCTCAGGAGCTCCCTGTTCCTCAAAGGGTAGGAAAAAGCAACCAATCAATTTAAAAATCAGATTTTCCTTTTCCTATATTATAAGGACATAAGGGGACAGGGGGAAGCCTATGTCTCCCAAATTCCTCCACCAAAGGCTGCAAGATCCCCGCTAAGCTTTACTTCACCTCCTCATGATCTCATGTTTTTTCATTCCCTATGCTTCTCAGACATTTCATATGAATAGATTGTAAAGGATAACCTAACAACAATTTTTAAGTAGCAATATCAACTTTAGCAATTCCTACTAGGTTTACATCCTAGGGTAGTTATTTACAAAGGCTGTCTGACAATGTTCACCTACTAAGCATATGTTAATTGTGTGCTACATCACCTAGAATATATTTTTTCTCTGCTGCTTTACCTTTAACTGCAAATTTGCTTCAAAATCAAATGTACCCTTAATTTTTGTTTGTCCTGTTTTGTTTCTTGTGGTGAAATCACAGACAGATTGCTATCTTATTCTTCAAGAATCTACTAAAGTGTCCAAATATTAAATACTCTGATTGATGGTTTTACTCAATCATAACATTATTTTTAAAGTAGTTTCTATACACTTTTTTATATTTCATATACTTTGATGTAGCAGTACATCATGAAGTCAACCACTGAAGGATTAAATATCTGATTAGCTTTGAAAAGGAATATTTTTTTCTTTTACCATTTTCAAACCTTTGAGCCGTAAGCTAAATATTGTCAAAAGGACTGCAACTGCCAAGTCAAGAAAATATGATCCTTTCTGTGTTTGCTTCAACAGCTGATTTTTAGAAAGTAAGTATTGCAATTGATCAGCCAGAAAAATAACTCAAAGATTTCCATATAAAACAGAATTTGCTTTTTTCCCCCCTTCTATTTCATACTATAATGCAAAACATAGATCCAAATAATTCCTACAGATTATGAGAAAGTAAACACTACAAAGTTTGAAAATTAAAGATTAGATTGACTCGTGTGTGCAAATCTTGATGTAGATTAAAAAACATCTGAAATAAGATAAATTCCAGTAAGCCAGCTTCAAAATCTGCAGAAATCAGTAAACAAGGACAGTCTGCCAGTTTATCCAAAACTTTGAATTCCACCAGGATTTAGTAAGTTGGATTTACATGCTTGTCTGCCTCCATGTGATGTGTGCTGATGTTAAGATGAACCAAAGCCAGTGCAGGCACACAAATTAAACTCTGTAGTCTGAGAAAGCAACTTATAAGTATTTTTAATACATCCTGAGCAATAGTGCTTATTGAGGACGCTATTATTTTTAGATAATGACTACACTGTTAATAAACATATCTTAATGTTGATTCTCATGCCCAGTGCTATTAAGAGGCCTTGCCACAAGATGGCATAAACAGCACAGAAGAATTTTTGTCAGAGTATTTTCTAGAATTGTTAAACACTTAAGGTACCATTATTTTAGTTAGACCAAATTGTTTACTTAAAGGAGAGCTTAAGATATATTGCATCTCCTTTACATTAGTTAGGATTTCAGCAAGTAAAACTTAGGAGAATATTTTCAATATCAAAATCGAATGAAAATATAGTACAAATATTTTTTATTAGCAAGATGTTAATTTAAATAATCAGACATATTTTGGTAAATTTGAAAACAAAAAAGTATATTTACTTTCATTGGTTTTCAATATTTTTATTAATTTCTATAGAAAAATCAAGACAGACAAAAAATGCATCCCAAATCTGATAAGCATATAAAGTCTCTGAACAATAATTAAACAATAATTAAATTTACAATACCTGAATAAATATCATCCTCAAATATTTCATTCTGAAAGCCAGAACAAAGAGTTCTGGAGGTAGAGCTGGGGGAGTGCAAGGAATGGGACTGGACTGCCAGTAATAATAACAATAACAGAATAAAGCTATAACTTAATTTGTGAATTATGTGAGTAGCACCTTACTAACAATTATTAATAATTATTTTTAGGAGGAAGAATGAAAATACAGGGATACCAGGTAAGCAGAATCTCTCATCAATTAAAATTTTTATAGGTCATTTTGCCATTTAATAGATTTTTAAAAGCAGGCTGCCATTTTTCTGGCACTAACTAAAGGATAAGAGAACTCATATCTGCAGTCCTACATTATCTCACTCACTTGCATTCGTGGTTTATGTAGGTATCTTTTATTCCTCAGTGATTTTAAAATGGCATGCTAAAGCATGATATTTTGTGCTGTAGAGCACACAAACCCCTTGACTCTTAACATGGGCTTGTCTACTTAATCTAACTTCTTCACATTTCTCTCTAGTCAACCAAGGAAAAAAGTTTACAGGGATTTTTGTTTCTTCTTTTCCAGGAACCTGTGCCTCCCCCACGGTAAGATCACATAAGAGATTTCCTACCTTCGGTCCCTGGGGAACTCAGTGCCAAGGAATGCTCACATCCATCTGTACTGCCCATGATAATTAGGTGACTGGAAGTGAGCCAGCATTCTTTTACTGCCTGGCACTTTTTGGACTCTTACAGGTTCTGATGTGAAATTAGGGAGAACAAAACATGAGCTGTAAGTGTTTGTAAGGAGGATCTCAGGCCTGCATTTTCATAATCAATTTGGCTCTGCCTACAGACAAGTCAAAAACCTAGAAATCTTGAATCTAGTTCAACCTACATATAAATTGCTAGGGAAAAAAATCTTCCATCAATTTGATTGGTGCCCTAGGCTCTGTTCACTGTGATAATATTGACTTCATTCCCTCTTAAATCATTCTGCCAATGTTTTTTGCTACAAATCTAAATCACATCCATAGAAATCAACTGGAATATTTCCACTTACTCCCACAGAAGGTGGAACAAGCTCTATTCCACAAATATATTTTACTATGATATGCCCACAAATAAAAAATTAATTGCTTCTTGATCTTTTCAACTTCAAAAAATAACTGCTACAATTAAAACATCCTTCCAAAAGGTCATCTAGGACTTACAAGTTTATTCCTCCATGCCTACACTGACCGCCCCAAAACGCATAAAGAATTTTAAAATATGATTAGCACTACATGTTCAGATTTTACTTTAAAAATGTGAAATAGCATAAAAGGGCAGTGTAACTTCACAAACTCAAAATTATAAAAGTGCAAAAATAAGAACATTCTCAATCCATTATTCTACAATATTTCACTGTTTATTTCTTTTTGTATTATGGTGGCCAGTCCCTCCCCAGGAGCCCACAACTGAAAGGCAGTTCTGACAGGCACCATGGATGCACCTCCAGTTTTATCCAGCCAGCCTCTTTGTGCTACAGCTTCCAACGAGAGTTGGGCTGTGACTGCCTGGTCTCAGAGCATGGGCAGAGTGTGCCCACATCTGGCAGAAAACACTAGACCCATGTTACCTGTGAGTTTTCTGGGATGAAGAGCATTTTGTCCTCTCTGTCTGAAACTGCAGTGTGTTCCCTGGCTGGATCATATACACAGGCCTACCCACCCAGAAATATCCACACTGGAAAGCTGTATGTGATTGGCACGTACTGATGAGGCACACAAAAGCGGTATTAATTGGCACATAACACAGTACAGTAATGTCTTGAAAATGTAGAATATTATCCAATATTACTATTGCTATTGAAGGGCCCTAAGGAGCTCCTGGATCTGAGCTTGGCTCAGCAAAATACATTGAAATGCTCTCAGAAAATTCTAGTCTCTTACTTCTAGAGCTTGAACTTACAACACAGTCCCTCCACCTCCTCTATTCCGTAATAGTTCTTCAAATTCTCCTGTGACTTCTCTAGGCCTCCAAACACGCTGCCAAAGCAGTATCAGCCACTTCCTCCAGAGCCAAGGATAAGCAGCCAGTTTTTTCACAAGAGGAACACGCTCAGCCAAGCTCCCACCTTTCCAATATCAGCAAAAGTCTCAAGGTATGGTGCATTCCTCATCCTCGTTCCCTAAGAATCAAAACACTCTCCCTGGTCAAACCGCAAGACTCTACTTCCATTGCACCTCTGCTTTTACTTAAGAAATTATTCTTTAGACAGCTGTGAATAATTAAGAGAAGTGGTATTTAGTGTAATGTGACACTGGCATTTTTTTAAGAAAAAAACTGACAAAATAACAGTAAAGAAGGAGTAGAAAAGTAGGCAGAACTTTCAAGAATACTTTGTTTAAGGTTTGTCCTATTTTTTTCTTAATAACATTTACAGGTCTTGCAACCACTTTTAAGCAGAAAAATTCTACTTATTTAGCACAGCTGGTGAATCAAGTGGTGGGGAAATACACTGACTGCATCAGAGATATAGGAATACATTCCACATCCCAAGGATGTGACATTCAGCAAAACAAATTACTTCTCTGTAGGCAAAATCTGGCTTCAGCCCATGAAGCCAACAAATTCAGACTATGATTCGTTTCTTGCCCTCTCTGTCTTGCACTCCTGTCATACAATGCCCATGGTCATTCAGGATCCTGACATGGCAGTGAGGATGAGTTCTGCCAAGTCCTGAAGAACAAGCTGCTTGTGTCCAGCTGTATGACCAAGCATATGCATGTCAGGTTTTGAGTCTGGTTGCTCTTTTCGCACAACTCGTACCTGGTGGGATGAGCGTGTACACACACTGCTCACTGTCATGTAACCATGCAGGTGTGCATGTGGTCTTGCACCGTGACCAAAATGCACGTTCTTAACAGGGGATGGTGCTCAGACACATGCTGGGAAGGGGAATGACACAATTCCAGGGCCCACAGGGTATAACGCTCAAACAGATCCTGACAAAGACCTATTGCAGCCAGAAGCTGTGTCAGTCCTGTCCATCCTTCCTTAAATGATTTCAATTTTATTTCATCAGGATGGAATTTTGCTTCATTTTAAAGAGGTGACTACAAATCCCTTGGAGGGAAAATAAGGTTACAAACCAAGGAAATAATCTTTTGCTTAAAGTTAAGCATGTACTTAATGAGTGAGCTCTAAGTATCGTTCTTGGGGTGGTTTTTTCCTGAATGGTGCCTAAATTTTTTCATTGATTAGGTTCCAAAAGCTGTTGGTTGCTGAGACATTTTATTAACGTGAAGTAGCTTCATATTCAATGCAAGAACTAACATGGAGCTGCAAAGTTCCAAATTCCATGACTGATCCCCTCCCTCAGTAAAGCAGCACACAGATCGAAAGCTTTGTGAGAAATGTTATAATCTATGTTGTCAGCAGACATCAGTATGCAGAGCACTTGGATTGGAAAGGTCCTATTATAAAGCCAAATTCTGTAATATAAATACATGTCACGTCTATTGCAGTAGGGGTTTTAATCATATGAGTAAGAAAGGAGTGGCACAGCATAAGAGCACACATGATCTGGGGAAGGCAGTTGACAAATTTCCCGCAGGATCACTTCACTCAAAATATTTGTCCACCGACTTCAGTCCAGTTACAGCTTTGTAAGGAGAAAACATACACATGAGCTGCAGTGTGAAGGAGTTCAATGATACAGCTGGTATCTACCAGACTGTAAGCAAAGCTGTCAAACCACAGATGTGATTTAGGAGTGCAAGTTCTGTTTTTCAACAAGATTTGGAGGACTTCTAAAATTTAACACATCATTATTTATACACGCTATAAATAGCTTCATTAAAAAATAGGTATGTGCAGAATCCTGGAATGTATCTAGAAGCTTTGGTGTGATTTAAACTTTTACATGCCTGTGGTAAGCAGGCCGTGCAAGTGGCATGTCTGTTCAAGGCAGAGGCCAGCCCTGGAAGCACACCTTTAATATCACTAAACTTTACCACGCACCCAGTGCCCTGAATATAGGCTCTCACACATGAAGTAATGGCCCTGAAGACCAAGCTAACAAATTGCAGAAGCTAACATAAAAGTAACTATCCAAATGCAAAACAGTTACTCTCCTTTCCCCTAGCCTTCCTGAAACTTTGCCTGAACAGATCATTCCCAAACTTCTTGCCTCTCTATCCCTCGATGCTGATTGATATTTTCTGCACAGACATGAAGAGACCCCTTCTCACAGCTGAAAAATAGCTCTCAGGGTTTTCTGTACCAGATCTTCCTTCTGTGTTCCCTCTGATTGATTTAGCAGAATAACTCACTGTCATATTTTCTCAGTCCAGGAGATAGGCTAAACAGGGCCTAAATCCCAGGGCTTTTCAAAAACTACTAGATGCTTATCCACATCTTATGTTGCTAAATAACTTGTAAAATCTGGTCCTCTGTCTCTTTTATTATGAGATACGTGATGTTAAAAAGCATGAGTGTTCACCATAACCAAAACATCTAACAAAAGATGTCAGAATCAATACTTGTCCATTTTTGGAGGGAGAATATTTCCTTCCCAGGAAAGAATGATACTCCTGTTGATCAGCCACATCAGAAGAAGGCAGAAAAATACCTAAACAATTACTTGATTCAGGACCATGAAGAACATTCTCCATTCCTCTTCCCCTGGTTTTCACCTCCTTCCTTCTACACTTTTCATTCTGTCTCTGTGTTTCATTTTTGAAACTCTTCAGTCTTCAAGGAACTTACCTCCATTTATAGCTGACTCTAAAGTGTGTAATAAGACCTTTTGCCATGAGATGAATAGTGTTAAGAAAGCTGATACTTCTCTCTCTTATTCCCTTCTTCCAAAACCTTCTCCTGCAAATAATTTATGTAAAAAAATAACCAGCCTCTGAACTTCTATAGCAGTAACAAAATCCTTCCCTTGACAAGGGTTGTTAGTTTTCAGTGATAATGTAATCAAAGTATTTAAGTACTCAAAGTGATTTTTATTTTATGATTATTTATTTTATTTTATGATAATTAAAATTTTTGCATATTATTCTTTTTTTTCCAGAAATTTATCTGTTAAAGAACTAAATGAAGTAAGTATTCATCTTTGTGTATATCAGGACCATAAAAACCATATACATTCCACGGCTACACAGCGTCTCTTGTAACAGTATGTTATGTAAAAGAACTAGTAGAATTATATTAGCTTTGAATCATAAAATGTCTATTTTTAACATGTGTTGCACTTTCAATACTGCTCCCTTCGGAATGGCAGGTAAGTTCCCGAAGTTGTTTCCTGAAATAAAAACACAGATATAGTGCAAACTCACCTTCCCAACTATCCACATAAAAGTATGTCTCATAACTGCCAGAGGCTCTGGATGCTTATGAACAGTGAGCAGTAGGAGAGATATTCTCCTTCAGACAAACATAGATTCCACATAGATTTTTAAAAGCAGAAGACTGAAATTATAAGGTCATTAGAGGAGCGTAATAGCACTAATGTAAAATAAATACCTCAAAAATAGGAAGACCCTTTTCAATAAGAGAAACGAAAAGAGACAAATTTTATATCCAGATTTAACAATGCCTGTTATTCCTCAGCTCCATTTCCCCTCTCCTCCCCCACTCCTTCCCCAGGGCCAAGCTCCACTGCCAGGCTCCAGGCACCAGGGAGGCATTTCTGCTCCCCGTGCACTCCTGAAGCAGTAGCTCTGAGTTCCCCTCTCTGACAAGCTAGAAGGGCTCTTCCCTCCCTCTCTACACCTCCAAGCTGACCCCTTCTCCTCCCAGCTGACCCCTTATCTCCCAGCACGTGCAGTCCCACCTCCAGTGACCCCCACACCAGTTGGCTCTGTCTAGGGGGCAGAAGCCAAGAGGCAATGCTGGGAATGCAGTTATAGGCATCTATAAAGCAGAAAGCAGTAACTTTTACACAGAGACTAGTAAAGGCAAGTGATTTTTTTTTTATTACTTTTTTCAGATCCCTGTCTCTGTAAAAAAGATTTTAACAAGTTCCTTCACTTTCTACTCAGACTAAGGAAGTGAAGCAGAGAAAATGGGTTTAGCAATAAGGGAGTTTAGTTATGACAAGTGGTTTTCCCTAAAACTTATTAAGAGATACAGTCTCTACAATTATGCAGTGTTGAAGATTGTTTGTAAAATTCAGAGATAGGTTATAACTTATGGCATCTTGTGCTTCTTACTGAGTGTTTTATTTACTGCACTAACATGTTCCTACTGAATTGTTTTTGATTTTTTTTCTCATTGTAAAGAAACAAAAGAAAGGAATCTCTATACTAGTTAAGTCCAACAGTAGGCTGTAGCACAGATCTATAGACTGGTCTAGCTCTAACTTTCATATCCACTGAGTTTTCCTTCTCCACAGTTCTGACTTGGAGGCTGCCCCAAACCTCACTCCTCTTGTGGTCAGAAATTCCTTTCGTTTGAAAGATGGTTACAAAAACATGGTTTGATAACAATATTGTAATTAACACTTTAGTCTGTTGTCAAGAAAGATAATATTTTGAAACGAAAAGCTTTGTCTTGTCCTAGATACTGACTCACTACAGATATGAAAACACTGCCAAGTACAATAAATATCTTACACCTCTAATTAACATTTCTGTCTAGGCACTGTACAGTGCACAAATACTGCAGCTCTTAACAGGCTCTTAGGTTGGCTGCTTCTTAAAGGAAAAATACTGTGTGTCTCCTGGCATGGAAAAGATAAAATATTCATCATTTCCCATTCATATAGATCTGAACATTTAAATAGTTTTGATGCAACATGCAGGAGGAGAAGAGCGGGTCCTTATCACGATTTCAGACACTGAACAGCAGGTCAATAGGTTTGAGAGAAGGAGTGCCCTTCACCAGAACTCCAGTCTACAGGAAAAACAGGTGCAGAGGAGCCTCTTGAAATTGGAAAGGACAAATGCAAAATCCTGCCCCAGAATGAACTAAACCCCTGGGAAACAGGTCTGCTCAGAAAGACCCGGGGACCAAAGGCTGAGCATGAGCCACTGGCATGTCCTTGGTGGCCACAAAGGCCAACAACGTGTCAAGCTGTATCAACAGAAGTACAGACAAGAGATCAAGGGAAGGGACTACTCCCTTTTACTCAGTCACTCCCTAGACAACAGCTGGAGTACTGCACAAGGCTGAAGCTGACAGAGAGGAGAGGGCCAGCAGAGGGTCACCAGTGCAGCACCTGCCCTGTGAAATGAGGTTGATGGGGCTGGCCTCCCTTCACCTAGAGAGGGGGCAGCTCTTGGGGAACCCAATAGCAGCAAGCCAGTTGCTGAAGCGATGATTATAAAGAAGGCAGAGCATGGCACTTAGCGGAAGGCACAATGGAAGTACGAGAGGCAATGATCTTGAAATCATGGTTTCAACCAGAAATAAGGAAGAAAAATTAAATATGAGGGTATTGGCACAGGTTTCCCAGAGAGGCTGTGAAATCACCATATGTTCTGGGAGGTTTGCAATACCCAGCTGGTGAAAGGGCTGAGACCACAGGTCTCATGTCACAGTTCACCATGCTTTAAGCAGAAGCTTGGGCTAGAGCTGAATGAGACTTTGAATTCCTAAGTAATGGCTAAACATTATTGGGAAAGCAACTTACATGGAAGGTTCAAAGTGCAACATCTACAGAGTCAACAATTCTTCTCTTAAATATTTATGTTTTATAGTCTTACATGTATCAAATTAACAAACAAAATAATTACTATTCCCATGTGAATCAAAATAATATAGAAATAGAGTAAAAGTTTATGAGTCAAACTCTGGTCTTTAGAAACCTGTGTATCATTCACTTATATGTTACATAATATGATGGATTAAGACTCTCCACACAGTGATTTTGAATGAAGTATCTGCCATGACAGTAAAAATAATTGTACTGTCTGTACTGTACAGTCAGAGTCTGAAAAGAAATTACTGATTTTACTCTTTGGATAGTGTCTCTCCAGTCAATTAAGACCAAGGAAGGAAAACCACATTGTAAGTTAAACTGATGTACAATAGTCATCATGAATTGGTGATCATTGCACTTACACCTCTAAAAAATTCAGTTCTCATTGTCACCAGTGGACTGACATAAGCATTCAGCCTGGGTTCTTGACAAATTGAAATATAGTTGGGTTTACTGGGGTAAATTAAAGTCACTAATCCAAAGAAAAATATTTACTATGTTATCATTTCATATAGGTACCTGGAAGAGAGCAAGGTCAGTATTTAATATATAATAATAATTTGATGTCTTTCTTTCATATTTCAAAACTGAAATAGTCTATCATTAAAATTCCAACTGAAGCAAGATTTGCTGGGAACAGAGAGATTTAGAGAGACCTCAATAGTTGTGGAAAATGCAGTAGAAAAAAGGAACTTAACTTGGACTTAGCTACAGCTATGTGGGGAACCAGGGTATCACATTTTTTCTAAGAAAATAACTTAAGGTTTTGGGAAAAATAAGTGTGTTGGAGTCTAAAAAACCAAGAGAAGAATATCCAAAAGAGATCTGCACAGAGGACATTTCTCCATCTTGCTGCTCTCCCATAATTTGCAGGTGAGAATTTTGAAAGAAAGGGGTTTTTTTAAACAGCTTAAGCTGTTTATCTGTGTGTCTGTGAAGGTCAATGTGTGCATGTGTGTTTATGTATGCGTGCATGAAGGTCCATGAAAAACATTACTCCAAAATACTTGGAAGGTAGATACAGGTTACATGACTTTTATGCTGTTTACAGTTCATCTTAATGAGTTCATCATTTCCTCTGACATTTCCTTTTGTGGATTAAGGCACTGTTTCCTGATTTTCAGCAAGAAATAGTATTGACTGCATTAATAAATTCAATGCCTATTCTGTTCTATAAAAAGGATTTATGAACCCTCCACATACCTCTAGTTCAGCATTCTACATTATTTACTATTATGTTCAGCCATATTTGGCATCAGCAAACCCTGTAGTGTTCCCCATGTAACACTCACTACTAGGATAAATGTTTCCCACCAAAATCATTAGCTGACTCATTCAAGCCAGATTGATTGCAGCCTTTTAAGTTTTTCTATTGAACTGCTTCACCCTCATTTATGAATGTAGTTAATTTATTTCACAGTAGTTGCTAGATACTGTCAGTTACACTTAAGATGAAATAATAAGTTCTTATCGTTTTTACTAATAGTTACAAGTTTGGGGAAGAAACCTGAAGTATCTTTTCAAGCACAACAGCATCATCCTGAAGTCAGGTAGGAATATAAGAATTTCATGAGTTTGTACTAGATGGTTCAAGGACTAACAATTCTGCCCTAGAAAATTATGCCTCACTATGCAATAACAGCAAGATGATATCACTTTCTGATGCCATGCAGTGGTATATTATATTTTGCCTTGATGCATGACAAGAACCATCTTTGGGAATTGCTTTCAAGCTATTGTAATTGCATAGCCAATTTTTATCTTTAATAGCATGCTGCTGTATTACATTTCTGTTGCTATTTCTGTGATATGGTGTTAAATATACTGTATAAAGAAGCTCTGCTATCTCAAGCCTCAGAATTTTCTCTCCTACTCATTTTCTATTTTTATTTACAAAGGATACATACCCGGCCTTTCAAAGGACAATTATTCTTTCATAGAAATTTGCCACAGTTAGTCCTATTTTTCTTTTCTAACCCACACAAATCTCTTTTCTAAATGTGTTTTAAATCTATATTCTCCTAAAATACTCAACAACAAACCAAAAGTGTAGCTGACAGCATAGGAAGTATATGAATGATTCGACATCTTTCCTAGACAAATACAGAATCTCATATCTAGCCTTGTTTACAATGATGGCATTCTCCAAGATAAAATTATTGTCTGGAGTAAATGCGACAGTATTTGTCACCCTTAGTATTCTGTTTCTTCTGGTGTGGTACCAGTGGCTCTGTTATATGAAGTTATTTGGTCGATGCTCTTCCCAGTGTAACTGTTCCAATTAATAGCACAACAAAATACCAGCTGGGCACTCAGCAGAGGCCTAGAAAATCAGAACAGGCAGGGAACAACAGTTCCCTGGGTCTTCCTGTAGAGGGACTGGAAACATCAGGTGAAATTAGCAGGGAACAAAAGCAAATTGTGCTTCACTACACATGCAGTTAAAATGTGGACCTCTTACCAAATACTCTTCTGGAGAGTAAAAAAAAAGTATATAACTTCAAAAAGTGGCTGGTGAAATTAAGGGAAGAGAAATCTATCAAAAGACACTAAATACAAAATTACCACCCAAAACCTGTGAAGGTCCAAAGCTGACATGAGTAGAGGAAGGGATATTCTGGGGAAGCACAGCTATGCATTGCCCTCTAATTTGACTCTTACAGTGCCACTAAAAAAAATATTTTTCTGATGATGCCTTCATTCAATGCTTTTTCCTAGCCCTCAATGTACATGGAGCCCTAAAACCAATTGCAGCTCAGGTAAGAACCAGAGATGGCTTTGAAAACCAAACTAAATGTGGAGAAATAAGATTAAGAAACAGATTTTGGTTGCTATGCATGTATATCTGCACTGAGGATTTTCAAAGCACTGAGTTAGTGCAAAAGGATTATTAAATAAAGGAAGCAGACAACAAATAAAATAATGGCACAGTCAACAGCAGCACAGAAACAAGCAGTTACTTGCTGTTACCCTATGCCTGGTTCAAGCAAAGAAATACCCAACCTACACTGCAAGTGTTAAACTATTGCAGACCCCCACACCCAGAACAGGAGAGGGATTTGGAGGACAATGGAGAGAGGAAGAGAACGCAAATTGCTTGGGAGTACAAAGAAAGGGCATGCTGTGAGCACAACCTTCTCTGCTTTTCCAGGCAGAGATGCAATCAGCTGGGCTAAATGGAAGTTAGAGATGTTTGGGACATCGTAGATCAGCTACTATGGGGTAAATGCTTTTGTGTAAACAAATAAACCACTCTCTGAAGAAATTGCTTTAGATTTATCCCAGATTCCTAAAGGCAAGGACATGTAAGTGCCATTATCAGGCAGGTCTATCAAATTATGGTTGGAAATAGGACTTCCCCTGGACTCTGTGGCTTTACCTAAGGGAACATACTGGAAGCCAACATTAACATTGATTGCTGGGGTGCTCTGACAAGAAACTGCCTGTGGTATGACTTCCCCAGGAACCAAGGCCATGTCTCTCTGCTCATTTTCCCTGGACTTCTTAAGACTGTCAGAAGTGAATCCAGCACACAGGAGTAGTTTCACTAGATTCATAAGCAAAATCTCTCTAACCTTGAAGACAATACTTCTACAAACACTTGTGTTAGTTTTTTGCTGTCATATCATATTGTATTTGTTATTCACTAACCCCTCTACCTAAATTTAGAAAAATACGGTCTCATTAGTATTTAACCCAAAATTGCTATGTGGCTCATCCCTACCTTTTAATATACCTACACCTGCTTTAAAAAGTACTTTCATAAACCCAAAGGAGACAAAAAAAACCAACTCAGCATGTACTTACATACTTTCGAAGAGCAAGGCAAATTTGATTATGGATTTGTGAAAGCACAAGAAAACACTGTTTTGTAAATATTATTTCTTTTTGCAGAACAGCATAAAAAATAATACAAAGGAAATTCCATATATTTATCTTTCACAAACAGATTGGTTAGTAAAGAGGTGTATCTGTACCTTACATGGAATACTTAGAAATAACATGACCTTGGTCTTTCTGATTTTTTAAATGTCATTCAGCCGAGTTAGCTCATGCTGTATCTCCATTCCTCAAAAACAGAGTTCATGACTTGGAAGACCCAGGGGCTTTGGGGACTGAGGATCTATAAGAATCATCCATGCTAGTGACTTCCTGCTGTCCTTGATTACATAGCATACTTTAACTCTCCTGTAACTGCCTCTGCAAATACCATTTTCTATCAAAAAACCAAACCTCTAAGCTGTGCCAGGAACCTATGAACTGCATAATGTGAACTTATGGTAAAAGCAAATACCATCAGGAGGAACATATGGACAGTATTATTTGTTCAGACCAAGTAGAATTCAACTTAACTTTGGTCACTGCCAGGCTAAACAAGCCCACCTCCCCCAGCTCTGTTTCACAGGTCCCAGCTCCCAGATTCTGGTGGGCTCCCTCCACTGAGCTGCTTCCTTCTTGTGCCAGGGGTGCAATCACACACATTCTCCTCTGGATACTTACTAAAAGTCATTCTTTACATAATTCACAAAGCTCATTTAGATCTCTGTTTGCTGCTGCCGCTTCAGACACTTCCTACCATCACTACCAGGGCTCTCTGGGAGCTCTCTGGAACAGCACAGTATCTTTTTCCCTCTGTCACTGCCTTGCTCTCCTGAAGCAACAGGGAGAGTACAAGTAGCCTTTCCCTCTGGTACCCTACAATTGTCTTTTATGTCCATATTTGTATTAAAAAATATTTCAAGACTTAATTTTATTAAATTTATACTAATATCCTTTTTTTTACTCCTATATAAGAACATGAGTGTTAGGCTCATGGTTGGACTTGATGATCTTAAAGGTCTTTTCCAAGCTAAATGATTTTATATTTCTCTCTCTGGAAGTTTTAGCTTTTATTATTAAAAACAAATTATTTTCTGTGCAAAAATCTAAAACATTCTTCTACAATTTCTTGACAAGCTGTTGTTAGCTCCATCCCAGCCAAACTCAGCACATGAGCATTACAATAGAATTCTACATGTCTTGTCCCACAGTCTAAGATGCAGCAGAAAAAAAAAAAATCTTTAAAACATACACAGCACAGGCCACAAAGCTGGGGATAGCCACTAAAAATACAATGCAAACAAAAATGCAAAAATCATGATGCAATCAGTTGAACAGTAACAATATTTCACATTTTGACAACTCAAACTGATTGCAAAAACAAAAGGTAGATGTCTGGTCCCACTGTTTATTTTGAACAGTGATTTAATTGCTGAATAGACTGATTGCCTGCTGAAGATCATGGCTGTTTGACTACTGCTATCAGTGGATGTTGTTTTAAAAACAAATATAATGCTATTATAAATCACAACTTGGTACATGTACAAATGGAAAAGTGAAACACAGTGAAAACTATTACTCCTCTGTAAAAGAAAGTCTTCCAAGTAAAATTTAATATTCTATCATATGCTGCATGTGAGCAGAAGAATAATAAACTGATAAAGCTTGAACAGAAAAAGCACAATGAAATACTGCTCTGGCAAACAATACTTTCGCAGGTGGCAGTAACCAGAAGGAAAAGATGGAAGCCATTGGTAACCACATTCTTCTCATTTACTCTTACAATAGACACTAGGTCATTTCTCCCACCAGCACTGCATGAAACAAACAAAAATGTTTTCTGTTGTATAGCAGGATATGATTCTTTTCATCTTCAATTTACAATTTTTTCCAGTATTACGTACCCGTAAACTATATTTGATCTTCAAATTGAAAGGAAGTCCTTGCTTTTCTCAGGCTGTTTCTGCTGCATCCTGATCAGAGTTAACCCAAGCCACTCATATTACCCCATGCTTTGTGTTCCTGCCCCATCCCCTGTGCTTGCACAGCTCCCCAGAGACTTGGGGAACTGGGTCTGTCTGTTAAACAGCAGCCCTAAATCTACAGACAGCAAATCACATTTGCTCTGGAAGGAGCAAGCTCTCTTCATCAGTGGCCCAGTATGGAGCAGATGCACACAGCCAAGGACCATCACCTTCATCTTAATGCAAGAGCAACCTCACCCCTCGGTCTTGAATTTGTTAATTGAAACAAGTCACAGAGCAGATTGAGATTCATCAACATGGTGAATCTGTCAAGGTTCCAACAGCTCGGTAGAAACAATGCTGGCTGGCAATGGATAATGAGGGGATATAATATGATCCAACATAACAGCAACTGGGACCCAAAGCAAATAAAGGGGGCTCAAAAGGTGAAAACAGAACAGAACGAACCATTACCCTTGTCCCACATTCAGTATTTTATTTAGCATTTGCTATTTTATTAAGTTTATTATTTTGGTATTGTGCGCTGGCAGATTGAAGTGAATTAAAAACCATCAGGAAACTGTGTTAAATCTCTGGGGACATCACAGAAAAGTCTGGAATCACTGATGCTGCATTAGCACAAGACCGCTCCTAACTGACAGCTCTGAATTTTAAAGGTTAATGTCACAGTATTTCTAAACTAAAAGTGCTATTCTCAGACTTACTCAGTAAAACATTGTGTAAAATGAAACTATGAGTTTAATTTAAAGAATACAACTCTTTTCCTTCTGAATTTACTTTTACAGGTTCCACGCTAAATGTAGAGAACTTGACAGTGAAGAGGTCACCATCTCCTACACCATACACAGTATGCAAAAATAAATCAAAATATTCACTTGTAGAACAGGAAATGCAATTTCTTACCCAACCCACTGAAGAGGTAAAGACCAGCTTTGCTTCATAAAAACACAAGTTTTTAGGAAACAGGATTAACACTATAGGGCACCACCCCCTCTGAAAGCTGTGGTTATTCAGCACTCTTCAAAACAATCCAATATGAGCTCTTGAAACCATAGATAAGAATTTGAATGTCTAATTTGACTAACATTTCCTAACAGGACTATATATCTACATCTATATACATATATAGATATATATGGATATATGCATATACTTTTATATACTATGCTGAATGTTCTTTAAATGCAGATTAGATACAATCTGTTTTCACTGGCTTTTTTCTGCCAGCTGTTGTTAATTTCTATACACTGATTACGATATCTTAAAATTAAGGATTTAAACAAATGTGAATGGTACGTTGGAGAATACGATCGCCATGAAGCAGAGAAGGCACTGCTACAGGAAGGCATTGTAAGTACATTTATCTCAGAACCTGGGGTATAAACTCTTGGGGGAAAATTTCTGTAAATTGTCCATAATGGCTTACAAGTCTTGTTGTGAACTAACCATACAATCTGTAATTTAAATCTGTATCATACAGGATGAGACATTCTTGGTTAGAGATTGTTCAAAGAAATCAAAGGCTGAACCATATGTTTTGGTTGTTTATTATGGAAGAAGAGTATACAACATTAAAGTACGTTTTCTGGAAGAAAGCCAACAATATGCACTGGGAACAGGGCTCAGAGGAGATGGTGTAAGTAAAATCCCATCTGCTGTTACAGTCTATAGCTTTTATGTTGCACTTCACAAGTTCTTAATACTAAATATTAGTTACAAACTCTCTCACATAATGAACTTGCTGTTTCATTAGCTTCTTTTACAATACTCTCATTTCAAATGTCTCAAATTTTCAAGCAGCTTACATAATAATTTAAAACCAAATTTTACATATCATACTCAAATTCAGATTTACATCAATGTAAAACTTTCCTAAGTACTTACAATACTTCTATCTACTGTAAGTAACACCTGCAAAGTAAAAGGGAAAGAAAAGTTCTACCTTTTCAAGTATACATATTATTTTAGTACATTTTTAAACTTGTGATAATATAAGCAAACATTTTCAAATACATACAACTTCACATATCTGACAGCAGGGCCTGGTGCTGCTTTTGCTGTTTAACGTCTCTTGTTGTCTGTGCCTCATACAGCAAAAGGAGAATTTATTTTTTAATGAGGCAATGGGACAACAGTTGTCATGGATATTCAGAAGCAATTAAATCATGTGGGTCCCCAGCAATCAGTCTTTCAGATATGCTAAATTTCAATTAGAAAATCCCTTTAGATTAGCAATGCTTTTTCACATAATTCAATTCAATTATAGTCATGATAGGAGTCTGATTCCTATTCTACCTATATTGTTAAGTAACACTGTATCTGCAAGTCTTTAACAAAAGAAAAAATTAAACATTAAACCTGAAAGTCATCTCTATAAAAATGTGATATGTGCAAAAAAAAAAAAAAAATCCTAAAACTTCAAGAATGCTCAGCTGCAGAGCAAAAAAGTAAAGCAACAACCTCCTATGTGTTATCAGCTATGTAAATGACTAACAAATCTAACTCAGGTTAAGCAGCAAAGCCTCTGTAGCTAAATCTTCAATTATGCCCTTTCCATGCACATCAATACTTCTCAAAACTTACCTTTTGCATAGAGAGACTTAAAAAAACCTGAAGTCACAAGTAACCAAAGCCAACTTCAACCATTTGACAGGTTCAGAATTTATATTAGAATTCTTATTAGAAAACATGGGATAGGATTTATGAGCTTTCACAAGAGGGACAAGGTTTACTGGCAGGTTGTTCTTCAGGAACATTGGTTTAATGATGAGGGGCGAGAGAAAATCCTTCATTATTCAAGCACATTTAAACACTTTGGGAAGCTGAACTGTAGCACAAATCGAGAATTACACTGCAGGTACCATCGGCCTGGTGCTGCTGTAGTGACCATCAGTCTTCTGTAAAGGACTGACTGCATTTCTGAACTGTACCTCACAGAAGATTTCCTGGAGTTTAAGTATGATTTAGGAGAAAGCAAGTTTAGTTTTCCATGGTTCTTACATTGTTTAATCTTCCTGGCTCAGATCAGAAACAACAACTGAAATATGGCACACTGCAGCATAAGGTAGTATGTGTATGGTAGACTATAGAATAAAGACATAAAGCTAAATTTTCATCATCTTAACAGCTTTAACAATTAAGGCAACTAGAAAATTACTTGAACAGTACATGAACAATTTTTACTGAACTAAAAGGAAGGAGAACACAATCCCTCCCATCTCAGGAAATACCAAAATATATGTCTTTGTTTTGTTCCAACTTCTGCACAGACAGAACATATCTTAAGAGTGGGTCTGCAATGAAAACAGTCAAACTGGAAAGTAAAAATTCCAGAATAAGGATTCCAAGCACCTAGCTAACAATCAAGACTTGGCTCTACCAGGTCAAATCCATAATCATGGCACCTTACCTTAAGCCTTCTTTTTAAGTATTGTTTCTCTTTAACTCAGAAATCCTCCTGTACTTCAAGTACAACAGAAAAATTCCAGAATCACGTTGCTAGTCAGTTAATTGTGTTGTACCAAAGAATCACAGACATGGCAATCTCCTACTCCTGTGTATTATGCTCAGCAGCAAGACGTGAAAACAGAACTGGGTACAAGGCACATGGGCAGTAATGAACAATCAGTGGCACCAACATTGCTCAGAAGAGCTTCTTCCATTTCAGGAAGTCTCAAGGGATTCCCTAAAAATGCTCTTTCTTGAAAACTCTCATCTCAACTTCTGCAGCTCGTCTGAGGTTCTTTTCTCAGGAGGGTGAAAACACTTTGTAGGGCTGTGAATTACAGCAAATTGCTGCCTGTAATTTTCCAGTGCCTGTTAAAATGCTTTCCAAAGCACTCTGCATTGTCCCTCAGCAGGGATACCCTTTGTTACACCACATTTTGCACAGCACAGTGCAGCCAGACCAGCTGCTCTATCTAGATTAGCTGAATATTCCCTCTTCACCTGCCAAAGAGAAAGAAATCTGAACACCAACAAACAGGTGCAGACCTACTACATTTCTCCCCAGTTGGTGATTTTGTTCAGAGGTTCAGTCTTAATAGATTTTCTGCAGTGTGTTTTCACTTTCAAATTAGTCTATTTTCATCCATTAAAAAGATGTGCTTTTTTATATGTAAATATAATTGTTCAAAGTTTTCCCTATACTACTGCAACTTTTGATTTTTCACATACAGTTTACAAGTTGTTAACGCATTGTATCATCGAATAAGATTTTCAATTAACAATTACTTTTAAAACTTATTTAATTCAACTCTCATGAGTACTTTTATCATTAGCTCTGATGTAGCCCTATAAGGCCTTGAAGAGGGGGGGAAGAGGGGTTGATGATCAGATTTTTATGTTTGAAGTAACTGAAGTTCCATGCAGCTAAATTAGTATCAAATTCTAATATAATGAATGCAAGTAGGGATGGGGGGGGAACAATCCACCACTAACTCTCTTGGTGAAGGTACATCTTTTGCTAGCAATTTAGCCACAGATGTTCACACCTAAATACATATTTAATATATTATACTGAGCTTACTAAAGGCCAAATCATATAAAGCTATAAAGATCAGATCCCCAAATGAGGCATACGTAGAATTTAGGCATTTACATTCAAAACAGCTGTCCTGAGCACCATTTACTTGGATATTGCCTTTCTCTATGCCAGACAGTTTCACTAGTAAAGATTCAGAGATCCTGTAATACTGCCTCTTTTCATGTGCACAACTCTTTTGAAGATGAAAAAATACAAACCTTGCTCACACATAAAGAGGATAATGACACAAAATTTAAATATTTTTCTTATCTCCTTTGCAAAACTAGATCTGCCACACACAAAATACAGGGTTTTAGCGTGTCTGCAGCACCAGGCTCAACTCCCAGTTCAGTAACTAAAAATCAAAGGCAGAAGTAGGCTTCTCTTCAACTCCGTGCCTATTTTACAAAGAAGCTTAGTGCTTCTTTACAAATAAGCATGGCCTGGTGTAGATCTCTGGATCTCCCTGTTCTGGCCAGAGATATTTTCTCCATTCTCACCACTCCATTTGCAGCTAACTTTCATCTCCAAACTATCAGTCATACCAGCTACTTCATTTCACTCAGTTTATTTCCATGTGAGTCAAATGGATTAGTTCCACCTACCTTCACCAGTCATCAAACTGGCCTGCCTCATCTGAGTAGATTAGGGAGCGCTTCCATGATGCCTTCCACTGACAGTGTTATGTCAAAAGTTACTGCCAGGAGAACAAGCACAGCAAACAGCCAGTACTTCCAAATGAGAAAGATACTTACAAGGTAAACATCTTGTCCACAGCTTAAATGACAGCTCAAGGACGAATAGTCTCATTCAGGATGTGTGACAGAGCCCAGAGTCCTGCCACCACCCCAACACAATTCAAAACTGTATCTTTCATGAGCAATCCTTGAGACCCTATTCCCATCTCTCCAGAACAGTCTGGAGACCAGCAGATAGACATTCCTATGACAGTAGAGATTGCTTGAGTTTCTTCACACAGTGAAGGGAAACAAATCAAGTACTGAGTTTTCTTCATCTCTATGTCTTTAGGTGTCTTTACACCTAACAAAGTGGGGGGGGGAGTTCCATTAAAAGATCTGAGGACATAAAATTCTAGACCTCATCACTATAGTGTCTAAGTCAACTTCATGTTCTAGCAGACATAAAGAGACTCAGAGCTTAATACATTAAAATTCATTAATTCAAATAAGAGTAGAGCATGAAATAAAGTAGAAAAAAATACCTAAGTAACATCTGAAACATTTTTCCTCATTACCAAAGAACTACAGCTTAAAGGTACAGCAATGAATAATGTGACATTCGCCTAGTTAAATTTCCAAAGCAGGTGAACAATTACAGTAAGACTTTTTAACCTCCCAACCAACGAAAAAGCATTAGAAAGCAAGAAAGGAATTGGTGCTCACAAAATGTTTAGAATAAAAAAAGGAAGGGTTACTTTGTTATGGTATGAAATACAAACCACAGTTTTTGCCTGGATTTTCAGTAGCAACAGGGACTTTGAACATAAACAAAGACAAGACAGCAAAGTAGAACAAATGCATACAAGTAAAAATTATCAAAAAAAACTAAAAAAATTAGCACAATGGCTTTCATCTTAATACAGAAACAGTTTCACCAAATCACATATTCAATCAGATTCTGTTGTTATAATCTAGGTGTGAAACAGGTGGGGATGAGAGAAGCTATGACAAGATACCACCAGGTGTACAATGAAGGTTCACACTCACAGTAAATGTTACATAAATACATGATAAGTATTAATGTCAAAGTAAGCTTGCATCACTGTGTGCAGTTCTAGTGATTTAATACCAATGAGTCCAAAGAATAGACCAAGAGGAAAAACAGTAATATGGTGAGAGCTTCGTGGTGTGATGAGAGCTTAGAAGTTACACACAGGGAAGAGAACTACTTAAACTGAAGGACTGCTAACCCGTGGATTGGGAGGATTAAGATGCCTTCACTAGGACAGATGAGGATAGACACCTTGGATAGCTTTTTATTGCTGTTTAATCAAGTCAGCAATCTTGAACCACACCTTATCACTTTAGGAATGTGCTTGGAGGTTGTCTTTGTTTTGAGCACAAGAGAACAAGACTACTACTCTGCTGGGATGCTCCTTGTTCCACACTTTTACAGCAACTTTCTCCAGAAACTGAATGGGGGGGAAAAGGTTACATTTAATAATGAAACTTGCAGAGTAAAGTATCATATACTGCTAATTAAGTGCAACTTTTGCCAGCAAAAATTAGTGATGATTTATAGTTATTTTGTCATTTCAACATCTGTCATCACACCAGGCATCACAAACTTTTACAGGTGATACTGCATTATCAGAGCTTAGATATGTTCCCTTTTTGCCCTAAGCAGCCAGCTACTTTCTCCTACACAAGACAGAGACACACAAAGGAAATAAGAGGATCAAAATATGGTACTTTTCCTTTTATAATCACTTCCATCTAATCATAATTCCATGCAAAATACTACCTATTTTTAATACTGTCAATTAACAGTCTTTTAATATTATAGATTAAACCATACAGCAGTTGTATTTTCAGTCACTGATTACTATTTTTCCCCCCCCCCAGAAATTTAATTCTGTGGAAGAGATCATTGAATTCTACAAACATGTTCCCATAAAACTGATTGACGGAAAGGATCAGTCAGGAACTCACAGAGAACAATGCTACCTCACACATCCATTCAAGTCACGCAGATGTTTTCTGCCTTAACATCGCAGATTCGTTTGTACAGATGTAAACAGAACAGTTATTTAAATGTCTCAAAAATCAGATTAGCCTTTTGAGCGAGGAGCTCCCCATAATATGTAGCATTCTACAGATCTACTCCATTTTTTGATTGTTGCAATCTAGCTTTGAGGATACAGGTAAAGTGTATGTCAACGTATTAATTCACAGAGAAGTGCTGGAACCGACTCCTGGTATCCTGACAACGACGGACCAATTTGCTTATCTTGCACTTTACCTTCTACCATAAGATGGAAACCAAACTCACCCTTGCTCACCTAAATGTCATGGAAACTCCACTAAGTAGCAAAAGCTAATAAAGCATATCACAGTCATATAAAAAAAAATATTCTTGTTTTTAAAAATACACATGAAATGCTATGTGCCAGAGCTCTCACTGTCTAACAATTTCATGTGGTGTGCGTATGTTTGCTCAACAACAAGCTGTGCTCAGCCAGCACTGAAGGCACTGAGTGTTAGCTGCTGCTCATAGGTATTGGAGTAGATTATAAAGATGGTTAAGTAATAGAATTTACATAATTACAGCTAACACTTACTCTTTAACTTGCGTAGCAGATACTTGTATTCCATCCCTGAGCCTTCAAACACTTATATAAGTAGAACAATTACGCAAACAGTCACTTTGGATTCATACTATGTGCAAATACAGAGATAAAAATCAATAGGAACAGGAGATGTGCTTCAAACTCAGCAAGAAAACATGCTCCAGTGTTTATCAAAGAACATGAGAATGTGATTTTTTTCCAGCAAAAAAATAGTGTAATACTTATTCATACAATCTGAGTTTTGGAAGCCCTAACTAAATTCCATATGTATATGAAAGGCAAACTTCAGATTTTTTTCTGCATAGCATCCATAGTCTTCCTTTCTAAGCACACTCAGAAAGTTTGGCTAGGTAATTGGAATATACAAAAAAGTAACCTCAGTTACTTTATCCTTAAGAATAGGCACAAGAATAAAAACACTCAGGCCCAAAACCACAACATTCCAACCCAATTTATGACGTAGTAGGTGGCACAAACCAGCTCTAAAAAAATTTAGGTTCTTATTTTTTTGAAACATTTTTATTTCTCGATTCTGCATCAAAATGCAAGAGAACATTCACTGTAATTATTTCTCTCAAACTGATGAACCTGTTAAACTCAAAGGAAATTACTCTGACATAACATTTTCTAATAAGAATAAAATTAACAAAACAGAAGCTGCTAAAAGTAGAGTTTAGCAGAGCTCATAAAAAGAAAAAGAAGCATGATGTAACCTGCTTTAAGAATTTCATAGCCACAATACAATTTAACTTACAAAAGACTTCCATGTTAAAAAACAAAACAAAACAAAATTCTAAATTAAGAACCATAAAACCCCCACATCTCAACAATTCAGATAGCAGGTTATGGCAGTGACATATCAAATTTTGCAGATTTTTACTCAAGTAAACAGTAAACTTGCTTACAGACGAAGACAAGCATTACTAGTATACTTAATCCACCCAGAGCTTTTAAAGTTGAGCAGCAACACCTCCCCCACCCCTCCCCAGTACAACTTTCACAAGCAATGTTTTAATTTCGCAAGTGACAACTCTTACAAAGCAAATTCAAAACTATTTATTTAGTAGCTTCTACAGAAACAAAATTAATTCAAACAGTAACCTGGACTGAAGGAGTTTGTGGGGTTTTTTATGTTAACCATTTCAGTATTTATTGTATATGATATGCCAGAATTTTAAAATGGAAACTATTCTCACTATTGAAAATGCAAAGAGCACTGTTAGGTTTGGCATCAAAGTATATGAAGTGAAAAAAAAAAAACCCTCTAGTGTACCCATCTAAAAAAATATAATTCCATTTGAATACAAAATGAGAACTGTCATTTCCTTATTATTGACAAAACAGGCAAAACGAAGTTTGTTCTGTGGAATAGGTTAGTCTGATACAAATGATACAAAAATTTTCAATGTGTACATGACAAAAAAGATCTGACTTAAAGCACCAACTGTCTGAAGGATTTTAACACTGTATTGCAAAATTATGGGAAAGCAATAAGTGGTTTTGAAAATAAACCTCAGTCAAATGTAGTTTTAAAATATTTACAATTCAATGCAGACATGACAAATACTTTATCAAAACAATGTATAATCTGCTGGAGTATATAAAAAAATATTCCCAGCTTAAACTGTTTACAAAAATGCACCAACAGTGGAAAGAGTCAGGGACTACCAGTTTTTCAAGAGAAGTCCCAGTTCAAACATAGAACACACATCCAGCATTAGAGTCAGTATTGATTTTCTTATCCCTAAAACTGTAAGAAGTTATTTTAATTGTATGTGCTTCAATATATTTCATTCTATATGATTCTAAAATTATTTAAAATTGACAAGATGAAGAGAAACATCTATAGTATTCGTCCGGAAACAGTAGACTTCAGTGTCATTCTTCCCTCTTCTTTACTAAAACTTGAAATTTGGCCCTGATTTAGAAATTTGTTTAAGAAACTGAGCAATGTTCACACTGCACTGAAGTCAGTAGGTACATGTTAGACATAATCTATAACTAGGCACATGCTTGTATGAATTTGAGGCTTACAAAAAATATATTCTAACATCTAAATTCTTAAGAATGATGAAAGATTGCACTGAAAATCTGATTCAACACTGTCAAAATAAAACTGTGCAACGTGGCTTTTCATTTTGAAAAGTCTTCATCTTCAGCAAGTTCCTCTGTAAATAAGCTCGCTAACTAGAGTTCTAACCAAATGCTGAGTTCTGTAAATATTCTATCACACACATGGTGGTAGAGGGTTTATGTTTGGCTATTACTATTTCAGAACAGCCTACAGGCCATAGAGAAGTGCTTCTTGTTCCTATCAACTCAAGCCTGATAGTATATCTGGCTTGATGATACAGACACCTGACTGCTCTGTTCTTTCACATCTACACAATACAGGCTAAGTAAAGTCTAAGTACTAAACAAAATTAAACTTATTAGTGCTATCTGACCTAGGGGGGAGTAACTGATTCCACAAGTTTTTCACTTACACCCTTGTATCTCCTCTGAAGTCAGCAGAAGTGTTTTTACTCCACTGAAACAGAGCACTTGCATTTAACTTTTACTTTTTATGGATAGTGCTTAGTTTGCCACTAAAACCTATGATATACACTTGCTGTCCACGGAGGACCAAAGGTGCTTTTCAGTATACACGTGCTCGATCTCTGACACACCATGCTGTAATAAAGCAAACTAAATCCTATTATCATGGCCAGGCTTCGCGAACGAAGATTTGGGAAATTTACAAAGATCTCACCATCTAAGACTTTAATCCACAGAGACCTAGCACAAACCAGGTACAGCACAGTATCCTAGGGTAAGTAGAAAGATGTTTGCATAGCAAATCTTTTTCAAATTTCTCCCGTGGAACAGATGAAATTGAACTCCAATACAAATTTCAAGCATGAGAGTGCAAAGCAGTGCTTAATCGTTGCTATCGGCTTCTCTCTCTCTCTCTCTCTAATTCTGCTCTCTTCTTCCACTTTGCTAACAGCAGAGATCTTTCGGCAAAATAAAGCAGTTATTTCAATCCTCCATCCCGAGCATGTTAGTGGCACTCATTAAAAACAAGAGGGGAAATCTCTGCTAGTCTCTCACTTAATGGTTTTTTGCTTGAAGAGAAAGAACATCCCAACCCTTGGTTGCCTCTATTAAGTGCCTCTGTCCGTGACTTATCCATTCTTCTTGGTCCATATATACTCTTCCACAAAACCAACACTTAAACAGACACCTAAGTGTTTCAGGTGGTGAGGTTTCCACCACCTGGTAGTTGTTTTTATGGGTCTTTTTCAGCTTCATTTTTAGCATACTCTGCTTTTTTGTTTGGTTTCCTATCTCAACATTCTGAAGAGTAAGACGCTTTCGGTAACGTTTGACACCAAGACAACTACTTGTCCTTTCTGACAGAACTACTTTCAGGACTTGACCTTTATACTTGTTGATAGTCTTCATGACATTAATTATCTCCGGTGAATCAACATCAGGATGGTTTAGTACCACAACTGGCTGGTTACGACGAGGGCATTTTATCAACTGATTCATTTTCAGAGGGACAAGCCGAAGACGTCTTGCTGTCAACAGGTACGACATGTCAGAACTTGAAGTGGTTTCCAACTGAGTTCTTGTTTTCCTCTTAGGAAGTTCTCTGAAGCTTGCTTGTTTTGCCTTATTTTTGGGACTTATTTGACTTTTTGAATAGGGCTTGCTTGGCTTGCTCATATCACTGCTTTTCTGAAATGGTACACCAGTTTGTTTGCTACTATTTTTAACACTTGCCTCTCGCTTCGGTCTTTGCCTGAGCGATATACTTCGGGACTCGGCATTTGGTTCACTCTGATTAGGCAAACATGGCAAATTATCACTAAGTGTCTCAGAAACACTAACAGGGACCGGGCGAGGCAGAAACATTTCATTGCAATACACAGAAGGAGCTGATGTTTCACCGCTGTTTTCTATTCCATCTGAGTTTTGACTGCTAGTAGCATTCAGCACTCTCAGCATTGTCCCTTTGGGGATAAATACAGGAGTAGCAACATGGGAATTTTTAGTCACCCTGTTTTTAGATGTTCTTGCAAATGTAAATAGCCGATCTTCACTGTGTTCTTTGCTACTAATCACACTGTTTCCACCATGCTCTTGAGTTACAGGTTGTTCCACTTCAGTAGCACACACAGCTCTCTCACAACTTGCTGAACTTTCTTGAGGCAAAAGCACCTTCTTACGAGAAGCTTGACATCTCAAAGGCAGGGATTTCATGTTAGATTCAGACATGAGCTGAGCAATCTTTCTACACAGCAATGTTGCTGACTTCTTACTGCGTGTTTTGTCAACCCATCTGACATCCTCTGGAACGTTTTCAGCCCCAGAGCTAAGGGAAAATACAGATGAAATAACAGGTCCTTCAGAAGTACTGCCTTTATTTTTCATCTTCTGTAGTCCTAGTGATTCCAGAAGACGACTGTTCTTTTGACTTACGGTTTCAGCTCTCTTTACTTTGCTAAAGCCAAAAGTTATATCCTCAAAAGGTGGAGTTTTAGTGATGTGAAATTTTTTTCCTGCCTCAGAAGATGTAACACATTTTTTATCAAAACCCATACCAGCTAAATGTGCTTCTGTAGAGCTGACTGGCAGACTCTTACATTCTTTGTCATCCCTTTTCACAGGCAATGAATACTTTTCTTTTAGGACTGCAGGATAATTTCTGCTCTCCTGAGCAGCCTCTAATGAAATGTTCTTGGAACCTTTATCTTCAGAAATAGAAGCATATTTTCGCAGGTGTACATCCTCAGCTTCTTCATAATGATACAAATCACAATGGAAATTACTTTTTCCATCTACTTCCCACCTTGAGGACTTAAGATCACTTTTTTTTTCAGTACTGTTCATTACCAGAGGAGAACAAAGTTTTATAACACCTGAATGGACATCAACACCTTTCACCAAATGAAAGCATAATTTTGATGCATCTTCTCTCTGTATAGATACAGAGCTACAGGTTGAGAGTTGAGAATCAGAAGAACAAAGAGATTCAGAATTCTTGTCATACGTACTATCCAAATTAAGCTGGTTACTAACACTGGATGATTTGTCTACATTCACTTCCATGGTTAAGTCATTTTGAGACACGGATGATGGTTTTTTTCCTTCTGTAGATCGTTCTATACCTTGACTCTCAAGTTCCACTTCAGCACAGTTCACAGGTTTGTAAGTTGCTTCTTTCATAGGAATTAGTTTAAGAACCAGCTGTTGTGCTCCATTCACTATTTTAATCTCTACTATCTGAGCTAAACAGTTAGAAGGAACTACAAGTTCAGACGGCGCAATTACTGTTAAAGGCATCCCAGGCTGTAAAGGCTCTGTTTTTGGAGAATAAACCTCAACCTCCACACTTTGATTCTCACATACACTCATTTCAGATGGCTCCAACACTGTTTTGTCCCGGACTGACGCTGCATTCACACTACATTCTACATTATGAGATGAACAGACTGTTTTAGTTGCTTTACCTGGAATCTCACAAACCATATTTGAAGACAAATTCGAAAATTCATTCTGAAAAGGAATTTTATTGTATTTCTGCTTTTTACATAAAGTGCTTTGACTCGGCTTCTTTTGCTTGTGTTTTATGAGAGTATTTGACAGCCGTTTTGTGGGTGTTTCATGTACTCTTCTCGTATGTTTCACTATATAGTCATGTCTAACAGCACCATATTCACAGTATTCACACTGATACGGGAAAGTTCCAGTGTGTTTCACCAAATGTCTCTGGAATTCTCCTTTGGTGTAGGATACATAACTACAGTGGGAACAAAGAAACTTAATTTCTTCATGTTGCCCTACATGTTTCTTATACTGTAAAGGATCCTTTGTTGAAAATCTACATTTATCACAGTAGTATTTACCTGGTAGAAAATTTTTTACTTTAAATGTTTTCTGGGGTTTACTTGGGGTTTTCCTTTCATGTTCTTTAAAGTCTGCAGCATTGGCACCTGTGGGAACAAAATGGAAAGCTGGTGGTGTAATATGACTACACTTCTTGCAGATGAAATTTTTGTCTTCAGTCCACCCAATCTTCTTATGCTTCTCTATATCTTGCACTGAAATTTTCTGAACACTTCTGCATTTTAGACAGCTTATCAGTGACAATTTATTGTTCTCAGCCTCAGTTCCTTGGTAACAACAGTTTTGGTCATCCTCCCCATTTGATGGATTTGTTTTATCCTCAGAAGATTGCTTTCGGGGTGTAGTTAGGGAATTATTCCTATCATTAACTTGGCCAGGGTACAATCTTGGTAATATTTCCCTCATTTTTTTCAGCTGCATTTCAGAAGACGTGACTCTGCACCAGTTTCATCAAACACAGCAGCAACAGATAAAATTTTTTCTTGGTATTAGTCTTGTATATGCTGCTTATCAATCAATCAATCATTCAGGCTGCCAATCTGCAGAATATATGCTTTGGAAGAAACATGTTCAAGCAACTGCATCTGTATTATATTCCATGTTCTTAATTTTAGTCAATCAACTTGCAGCACTAAAGAATAAAAAGCAGAAGATTAAGTCAGTTAGGATTCAGTGATCACTTAAATACAATGAACTAATAAGTGAACTATTAGCAGACCACAGCTGAATTACCCAGTGCAAGTCTACTGTTAATATACCACTGATTGTATTCTGCACATACACCATTAACTCTAAGCAAAAAATACTAAATCAAATAATCCTTTAACATTTGCTCTTATTCAAAAATTTCATAAATACATAAGTTATCTGCTATGTATCAAAACCTAAAGAGTTCGTGCTACTTCCCCCATGTCAAGAAAAATTGTACATTTAAGAAACATTTTTAGAAACCTAATAAGAGAGATACTTGGCAGCAGAACTGAGCAGCAGAGTTTGACTTCAGTTCATGTACAGCCCTTGATTCAGGACAAGATATTATGAAACAGTGCAAGTGCCACTCATTTGTGAATCCCATCAGGGAAACACAACATGGTTACAACGGTTACTAGAAACACAGAACTATTTGTTTGTTTTTAAATATAAGGATTTTTAAGCTAGCACAGAAATTCCTGACATATAGAAGGAAGTTCTTTTCTAATCAGTGCCAATGTTTCAGATCGAAACAGTCTTCAATGCCAATTCATAAGAAGATATGATTCATGATTCACATGTTCTCAAAGTAATGAAGTCAAAACAATCTGTGGCTGCAAAATTAATTACTTTCTCTTCTACTAATATCACAGTGTAATCACTTCTATATATGTGGACAAGCATATAAATAATTCATTGCATCCTGATAATACAGAATGTCAATGAAGCAAAATAGACAATGCAACATAAGGCAGAAGGAGAACAGCAATATCGCCGTAAACCACCACATGAACATGTGCAGTATATTTGGCCCCACAAGTTCCAGCACTCTGACTGTCTCTTTACTACATTTAACAGAAACAAGATCTCAGCCTTTAAGTTTTTGGCAAGACTATGAGACCACTGTTATTTGGAAAATAAACAACTAAATCAGGCTTTTGAGACATATATAAAATAAAATCCAAAGCTAACACCAACAAATAAAATCTACTCAACATCTTTCTTATTCTAACAGTTAATTACAGACATGGCATTGCGCAGACCTGCATTCACAAATAATCTATTTCATGAGGTTAATTCTAGATGCCTTTTCAATACATCCAACAGAAGGCTTCTGCTTCTGCTTCCTCACCAAGTCTATCTACAGAGATCAAGACCTGATTTAGACTCCAAAAGCACAGTGCTGAGATCACTTAAGTAGCTTCCCATGACAATAATTCTACGTTAATGAAGAAATTACCCTATGGTACTGAAAAGACATTGAGGTACTGGAGCATGTCCAGAGAAGGGCAACAAAGCTAGTGGAGGGTCTGGAGCACAAGTCTTATGAGGAGTGGCTGAGGGAACTGGGGGTGTTTAGCCTGGAGAAAAGGAGGTTCAGGAGAAAAGGTTGGTTTGGCAGTGCTGAGTTAATGGTTGAACTCTTGGAGGTCTGTTCCAGCCTAAATGATCCTGTGATCTCCCCAATGGCTTGATAGAAGCCAGCATCTCATTCAAACAGCTTTACCCACATTTTATGTGCTCTCAGCCCAGAGAGCAACTGTATCCTGGGCTGCATCAGAAGCAGCGTGGCCAGCAGGTTGAGGGAGGTGATTATGCCCCTCTACTCTGCTCTTGTGAGACCCCACCTGGAGTACTGTCTAGATGTGGGACCCTCAACACAACAAAGATGTGGGCCTTTTAGTGGCTCTCCTCTGGAATCGTTCCAAGTTGATCACAGGGCAGGAACACCTCTCCTATGAAGGCAGGCTGAGAGCTGGAGAAGAGAAGGCTTTGGGGAGTCCTTATAGTCCCTTCCAGTACCTGAAGCAGGCTCTCAAGAAGGCTGGAGAGGGACTTTTCACAAGGGTATGTAGTGACAGGACAAGGGGGAATGGCCTCAAGCTGAAGGAGGGTAGATTTAGATCAGATATTAAGAAGAAAATACTGTGACAGGTTGCCCACAGAAGTTGTGGATGCCCCATCCCTCGAGGTGTTTGTGGCCACACTGGATGCAGCCCTGAGTAACCTGGTCTAGTGGAAGGTGCCCCTACCCACAGCAGGGGGGTTGGAACTAGATGATCTTTAATGTCCCTTCCAACCCAAACCATCCAGTGATTCTATATTTCTGTGCTTTACGTAAGGAAGTGAAAACAACTAGGTTTGTCAGGGTTTAACCCCAAAACCAAGCTTTTATTCAGACCTGTGAAAAATACCATGTTGTTAGAATCCAGGTTTCAAGTGTTGGTGTGTGACTGACTTCCATGTGCAGTGGGTTGATCCTAGCCAGCAGCCAAGCAGCCACACAACCTCCTGAGTAGGAAGAAGAGTGAAGTAGCGAAAAAGTACAAGAAAGTTAATGGGTCAGGACAAAGGCAGCTGAATAGAAGGAAAGAGTCAGGGAAGTGACATAAGGGAAATCACTCACCACCTTCCACAAGCAGACAAATGCCCAGCCAGTCTCCAAGCAGCAGCCACACTGGAAGGCAACTCCACTCTCCCCTTCTTTTACTTCCAGTTTTCCTGGCTAAGCATGATGTTATGTGACATGGACTATCCTCCTGACCAGTTCTAATCAGCTGTCCCAGCTGTGTGCCCTCTCAATCTATTGCCCACCCCATGCCTATTCACTGCAGCAAAGGCAGAGAGAGGGGGAAAAGAAAACCTCGATACTGTGCAAACACTGTTCAGCAACAACCAAGACACTGGTGTGTTATCAACGTTGTTTTAGCCACAGATCCAAAACACATCACTGTACAGACTGCTTTTTAACTCCATCCCAGCCAGATCTAGTACAAGGTGAAAAAGAAGTGAATAATGAGTTGATGACAAAGTAATATCTCTGCTGTCTTCCTAGCTAGTAATTCACCATGTACCCTGAACACTGAACAATTAATAAGAAAAGTTTTGATATGAACAGGTCCCCTTTATCATTATTTTAAATAAAACAAGGTCAAAATGAGATTGTAATTTCATGTTTATATTTAAAAAAAAAATTTGCTTTTTCTGGTTACTTCAAAAAACTGAGATCATCAATGTACAAAGCAAGGAGAACATTACATACACTCCATATCACTGGGGGAGGGCAGGAGAGGGAGGAATTCCCCTTAAGACTTGTTTTGGTGTTTAAAGGGTTGGCAGAAACACATTTCAGAAAATTTAAAGACAGATACTTGATTCTTCATGTGCAGTTCACACGGACCGATCCAAAGACATCATAAAAGGAAGACCTGAAAGTCTACAAGGAGTGAATGGCGAACAGAGGAACAGGATGGATGAAGAATGGAGTAAGAGACACTAAGAGTGTTAAAATCAGTTCCAGTCATTATCTTTACAGTAATGGATTCAGAAAAAAATGTAAAAATACTCAGAAATACAATAAAGTACTCGAATTAGGAGAAATTAAAAAAAAAATCTAGAGGCCCTAGTTTGTTTGTTTTTTTTAAAAAAGGGAAAAAAAAGAAGTAAAAATTTAGAGGCACATGGAAAAAGGACAGCAGAAGAAAGATAAACTGAACTTCCTCATTCACTCCTTCTACCAAACACCTGAAATTCAGTGACATTAAAAACTCAGGCATTCACTGAAAAGAAGTATTCCCACCTTTCACACAATGCTAGCATATCTTGAACTGTGCTGCTCAACACACAGAGATTAACAGATCCACAGGAGTCAAAAGGTATTCCAAACTGTGGATATAACATGTATGTAATGGTTCAAAAGATCCATTAAAACAAAGGAAAATAGGATGAAACATCCTGTGCAGCCTGACTATGCCAAATTCATCCAGTAGAAGGGTTTTTCCCCTGCAGAAGATTACGAACTACTGATGTGGACCTGTCAGACAGGAAATTTCTATTTACTTCAAATACATTAACACTTTGTTCATCATTTCAAAGAAAAACATTTATATTGCAGGGGTTTAGTTCCCTTTAGCTCAAACTGTGTGCTGCTATCAATGAAAAGGGTGTGATGAACAGCATTTATCCTATGTGATCAAGCAAATGAGCCCTTACTTCAGCAAAGCACACACCTCTCACATACTAAGTTCACAGGCTGCAGCCAACAACCAAGGTGTGCTTTGGTAGTGAAAAGCCCATATAAGCTATGCCTAGGAGAAAGAAGTTTAAGCAAAACTGGAAGACATGTATGCATGCATCTCGTGTGCATGACTGTATCAAGAGGATGCAGTGTGTAAAATTTGAGTCCCCGTGAAAAATTTAAATCTCTGTGCTTGCTTAAAACTACCTTCTCTATATTTTGCAATTATATATGCATACACACCATATACTGGCCGTTTAACATCAACTGACTATCTCTGTTAAGCAGTTAACTGTTCTACTGACCCAACTACAAAGCTGCCAATTATCAGTCACTAATTTTAGGCCTAATGACTGGGAGAGATACAAAGTGTTTCACTCAAGTATTGCATATTGTATTAATTAATATAATTAATTTTGTGTTAAAACAAACTATTCAAATACACCACATAAATTTTGTCTACAATTATTCCTTCTTAAAAAGACATTTTGTTTCACAGTAACAGCTAATCACAGTCATAACAGTTTTTGGTTTGTATCTGAAATTCACGTGAAGATTTTCAATCAAAATTAATGAAGAATGACAATGCAGAGAATTAAGAACAGCAAAGACCATGCATCAAGTTTTTAGAGCTCATTTTTATTACAAAATATACAGTTCTTTCACTCTACAGAAAAAAATTGATTACATTTAAAATTTTTACTACCTATAAAGTCATGCAAAACATTGATTAAAACACTATTTTTCAAAAGCATAAGTGAAAAAAATGTCCAATCTACTGACGTTCATTGGCATTGTACGAAGGCAAGTACATGTATGCACTATGCAGTATTCTACTGAAATGGAGGTCTGCTTCCCTGTGGCTCTAGGACCTAGGCCTAGCTTTATTCATATCTGAAAGCTGCCCACTTCTATTATATCATTCAACTGCTTGGTGGTCTTCCTGCAATAAGCTTAACAAGGCATTCCCAAACAACCACCGTATCAAAAGCAATAGTCTAGGGTGTGCTCAGAGATGTTTATACAGTTGTTTATCATTACATCTATGACCAACTTTTTAAATCTATGCTGCTCATTTCATCATTTCACACAATTCACGACCATTTTGAGACTCTTTCTGTATATCCAGAGCATACTGACTAGTATGTAGCACTGCTTTTCTCTAAGCTCTAAGGCCTGTAAGCAACACAGCAAGGAAGTATGGCACTGAAGAAAATGGGAGTTGAGGGGGAAGAGTGTCATTAAAAGCACATATCCCTCCGTGCCCAGTTCTCAAAGCACTCATGCAGATGTTAAAACTAATTTCTACAGATTTCATTCCTGCTAAGATTAGCCACATCCTATCTGCATGTGCAAGAAAAGGGCCTTGACTGCAACCACCTACTGCAGTAACAATGCACAACAGACTGCTAGAAAAATCCTGTAAAACACCATTGGTTTTTCTAATCATAAAATAGACTTTTTTAATTAAATATACATTGTAGGACACCTTGGCTACATCTATGATAACACTGTATCATCTATTTAAAAGAAAAGGTAATTCAGACGTACAAAATGTTTAAGTGTCCAATGTCATGATAGATTCTCTTGCAACAAAACTCAATGTGGGATTTAATTAAGCGACTCTTACGCCCAAATATTCAAAAGAACCTCATTTGCACACAACACAGAGGATGTTCTATTTTGCTCAGGAATACAATTACTAACCCGAGAGCTCCTTTTCTTCGGGAAGATGACCAAGACGACAAACCTGGACAACAGCCTTAGTCCAGACGAGTCCAAAGCGGCCTGATGGCGTCCACGAGACAAAAAAAACCATCAAGAAAAAAAAATCTCCTTGTCTTGGGCATCCAGCCCACCCACGCATCAGTGCTGCCGCCTCTCCAGAGGCCTCGCTTTCTCCTTCCCTCGCTCGCTCGCTGCCCGTGTCCCGAGGCCGAGCCGGGCGCTGCGGTGCGGGCGGTGCGGGCGGTGCGGCCCCTCCGCGGGCCGCGCAAACCTCCGCCCTCAGCGCCCCCGCAGCGCCGCCGCCGGCCCGCAGGGGCAGCACGCCGGCACCGCGCTGCGAGCGGGCAGGGCGGCGGCGGCGGCGGCGGGAGGCCGCTGGCCCGGGGCAGGGGCGCCTTACCTGGCTCGGGAGAGGGCGAGGAGTAAAAAGAAAGCGCTGCCACCCTCAGGGCAGACCCCGCCAGCCGCCGCACGCCGCGCCGCTCCGCTCGTCTCCGGCCACACGCGAGCAAGCCAGCGCACGCCCCGCGTCCTGCGCGGGTGCCGCCGCCCTGCGGCACTTACCCCGGGAGGGCGGCGCGCTGGCGAGCCCCCCGCCACAGCCCCGGCCCCGCGCGGCCCCCGCCCACCGCCGCGGCGGAACTGACCTCACGGGCGCCCCGCCCGCCGCCGGGCACCGCGGGTAGAGCTCTACTGAGGGCCGCGGGGTTCTAACGGGAACCCAGCGCGGAGCTCCGCCGAGAACCAGGGACCGCCCTGGGCACCCGCACCCGGTCACTTCAGGGGACAAAAACAGAAAAGGGAAAGCTAACCTTATCAGAGAGGGAAGTCTGGGGAAAAAGAATCCTCTCAACTATGAATTTTTTAGTTCCAAAATGTGATGTCGCCCTCAGAGTATGTTCCATCTTTTGATTAGCAGTGTAAGAAAACCTCAGGATTAAAGGGTGGGCTCAGTTCAGCGAACACTGTGTCTCACCTAAAAAATCCACTGCGCAGGCTCGAAGGGTAAAGACCTTTCCCAAATCTTCGTTCGCGAAGACTGACCATACTGTAAGAAAACATTCTTAATGGAGGAGTTTGGAACACTAGTTTACTGAAGATTTTTAAACACGTGAAGAAGGTCTTCGGGCTGATAGAGCCTGTTGGGATTTCTAGAAGGCTTTTGACAAAGACTGTCAAAGCAACTAAGCAGTAATGGCATGAGACCAAATATCTTCGCAAGAATAGCTGGATAAAGGTGGAACACAGGGAGCAGAAGTGAATGTGTGATCCTCGTAGCGTAGATACAATGGGTGTGCTGCTATATCAGTCTCTGCTTGGACGTGCTCAATGTACAAGTGACTTGGAAAAGGAGCTGGGCACTCGAGTGACAGCCTTCTGATGGTACCGAGCTACTCAGGGACTTAAGGACAGAAGCCCACTAAAGATTTGCAGAAGGACATGCAACTGAATAACTAGGAAGTAAAATGGTGGTTAGATTTTCGGATAGCTAAAAGTGATGCACAGTGAAGAAAAACATCATAACTTCAAATATAAAATTATGAACTCTAAGCTGACTAGTACTGTGCAGGAGTAAAATCACAAAAAGTTTCTGTTAAAATCTCACCTCGGTGTTTAATAGAGTTCATAAAATCAAGCTGTATGCTGAGATTTGAAAAAGAACAGAGAACAAAGCAGCCTTATGCTGCTGTGTAAATTCATGATTTACACATCTTGAAAGCTCTTTGGGTTTCTAAGTTCCCTCAGTTCAGGAAAGACAGAATAGTAGTGGAAAAGGTTCAATGAAAGGTAAAAAGGATGATCAAAGGTACTTTGCTCTTAACTTTCACATAAGGAACAATTAAGTAAGCTTCTGTCTGGAAAAAAAACATGACTATTGATATAACAAAGGGCTAAAAACCATGAGTGTACATTGTAATGTGAGCAGTTACATCTGGGAATTGTGTATGTGGATGTCATGAAAGATATCAGGGAAAATTTGTACTTACTGACTAGTGACAGCTATTCTGCAAAGGTGATTATGTAGTGTTATGAAAATTTACTTCCCTAACTATTGTATCAATCAGTCTTCATAATATGAAAGTGTATTCACTTTGTCACTATGAATTAGTTCACAGTATACAGTGCAACAGAATGAGATAGTGGAGTTTTAGTGGAGTCTTTGGTATTGTTCTTACTCAAGTAAAACAAGCTAAAGGACAGCCCAGCCCTGGAAATAAGGGCTTTGCTTCTTGGAAGCATAGAACTGTTCACAAAGGATGAAGGACACTCATAGACAACCCAGATAAAGCCAGCATCCTAGCCCCTCTACTATGTCTTTGAAACCCTTCCACTGTTATCTGGCAAAACTGACCCCAGGAACATCTGGATCAATAGACAAGCAGCAAGAATCCTGCAGAAATATGGTTGCTTGGCACAGTTTTGCTATGATTAGAAATCAGTCTTGTGGGTCTTAGTAATTAGTCAAATCATGTTGTAGCCGAGTGGTTGAAGATTATAAGAACCCTGTGTAAAACCACTCAGGGGGACCCAGTTTGGCTGGGATACCTCAGGCACATGAATAAATATTTGCACTTGTAATTCTATACTCTGTTTCCTGGCCTCTCTTGGTCAGCACCAACTGATGCAATTTTCTTAACACACTTAGCAGTTCCGATTTTTTTCAGTAGATCTGTTTTTTTCAAAACCAGAAAAATTAGAAACATTCCTAAAATACAGCGTTATAATCTTTAACACAAATAATAATTCAAGAAATAGTTCGCTATTTTTTTATCTCATCTATCTGTATCTGAAAAGATTCAGTGTGCAATAAATATACTTCATATCAGTAAAATGGAATCGGTTATCTGATACTCAACACTGATTAAGCACTTTTACCTCTCTTTCTTAGATATACATAGCTAGCTTGCTCTGAGGTTAGAACTGCAATTTCCTGTAACAAATGCAAATGTATTATTCAGTGTTTAAATAAGGCCAGACTAAACAGTGTCATACAGAAGAGGCTTTATTCTGGAAAGCTTGAGAGACAATTTACATCTTTCTCAGTGTTTTTCAGCTACATAAGTTGAGTCCCTCCTCTGCATTTTGTAAGCTTGCATTCAAACCTACTCCATTTCTTTTCCCTGTCACATGAAGGCTCTCTTCCCAAGGACGAGTCAGACCCGATCAGATCATAGTGCCTCTTTCTCACTTGGGCTCCAGCCCTGAACCTATTTAGAACACCAGACAAGGAATAATTTCCTCTGCAGTTTCCACCTTATCAGTCTCCTTTGGTTTGCCATTTGTAAGTCGTCTTTGGTGACCTCTAAATTCCCAGCTCTTGCCCGGTCCTTTGTTCCTTCTCAGTTTGTCCTCTGACTCACCCACCCCGAAAGTGCTAGTTAGGCATTTGTGAGCATCCCTGCCGAGGGCCCTAAAGGGAGGATTATCATTTAGTAGTGCTAAGGGTTGTTACCCAAGTAGGAAACGCTGATAGTAATGCTACTAATTGGCAAACAGAAGGACGTCCAAGCAAGTAGCCTCTTTTACTTCCTGCATCCTTTGCAGCATTGCTGTGCCATGAAGCTGATCCTGTCACATGCTGTAGAACACCCTCATACCAGGACTGCACCGTGACTCCTCTGCTGCCACCACTTGTCCTGCTGCCAGCCTGCATTTCTTTCTACCCTCTAACAAGATTATCTGACATGAAAAGTTGATTGTTGCTTGTGGATCCATGAGAACCACAGGTAGAAAGAATCACAGAATCACAAAATGGGCAAAACTGGGAGGGACAACAGTGGGTCATCTGGTCCAATCTCCCTGCTCAAGTAGGGTCATCCTAGAGCACATTGCACAGAACTGTATCCAGATGGTTCTTGAATATGTCAAACAAGGGAGACTCCACAACCTCTCCGGGCAAGCTGTTCCAGTGCACAGTCACCTGTACAGAAAAGAAGTTCTTCCTCATATTCAGGTGGAACTTGCTATGCCTCAGTTTCTGCCCATTGCCTCTTGTCCTATTGCTTGGTACCACTGAGGAGAGCCTGGCTCTGTCCTCTTGACACCCTCACTTCAGACATTGATGAGCTCTCCTCTCATCACCTCCTTTTGGGGCTGAACAAGCCCAGCTCCTTCTGCTTTGAATCTCAACTGCAAAACTATGAAATAGCTATGTTTGGAGAAGGTTCATGACAAAAGAGAATGAAGAGGGTGAGTAAGTGAACTACAAGATAAATCACACGCTCTAGGTGCTTCTCTTTGAACAGTTTTGCTTTGCATGTTACTATAATCACAAGTCTTCCCTCCCCCCCCCAAAAAAAAGTAAAAAGGCAGTGCGCTGGAAAACCTAAAAAAAAAAAAAAAGAAAGAAAGAAAAACAAACCAAACCAAAAAAAAAAAACCCTCAGCAGTGATAACCCAAGCTGAAAATGAAGAAAGGCATTTTTTTGGAGACAAACAGAATTTTTCTCTTGGCTATTGCAATAGCTGCAGTACCTTCACATAACAGCTTCTCCTATCCCTTTTCAGGACACTATCATAAAACCTTAGTCATGTGGATATGTTTTTTCACTCTATAGGCTGCAATAATGCAATAGCACAATCTGTTGAACTCAGGGAATGCACTTTGTAGATCTGAACTGTGTTAGAGTGGAACATTTTGGCGGGGGGAAAATATACTACTTTTTAAGCCTTCAGAGCACTAAGAAAAGAGAAATGCAGTCTTCGTTTTCCAAAATGTGCAAGCACAAACTGCACACAATGACAACAGTCAGGATCTAGCCCAGCAGCAGCAGAAGTTTTAATTCTGAGTTCCCCAGCCCCACATATTGCAGTGTTGGACACTGAAACTGAAAGAACTGGCTTAGTTGCTTTGTGTTTCTGCACTGATATTAACGCTCTATGATACTCTGCCTCTTCAAGTGGCCAAGCAAAGTGCACGCATTATATGAGCATTCGGGAGGTTTCCTTAGATACAGGTTGCTGCTAATCGCCATATCTCTCCCTCCTGCTAATTTCTTTGATTGTCAGGGCAGTAGGACCCTTAAGAAGAGTCAAGAGGGTAATTTTACATTATGATGTTCGTTTCTGCCTCCGTGTTTCGGAAAGCGCCGCTGCGGCCCCGAGCGCCCCACTCGCGGAGCTCTGCTGCGCTCTGGCGGCCGCCCGGGCGCAGCGCTGCCACACCCGCGAACGCGCCCGCGGACAGGCTGTCTCGTCTTCGCTTTAAGCAAATTGACACTTCGAGTCCTGAGGAGGAAAAAAAAATACAAGTCTCTCGCGGTTTTTTTTCTTTCCTCTCTTGCCCCGACATTTCTGATATTCCCACCTACTTCCCCGTTTGTCGGTGACCTCACCGCCTCACAGATAGTGTCTCTTCTCCACCCCAAAGGGCACACAGACAAAGCCTCGCCCCTCTGTTCTGAGCTACGTGGCAGTGCCATATGCTGCCTCTCGCCAAGCAAAACACATTTTGCTAGATGCTAGAAAGCAACGC